ATGTTTATATTTTCTACAAATATCTTCGGTATTTATATTATATTTTGTCATATATTTTTATATATCATTTTTATATTTTTTTATATCTTTTTTCATATATTTTTTTATATTTTTTAAATATTTGTTATATATTTTTTATATGTTTTTTATATATTTTTTATATATTTTTTATATGTTTTTTATATATTTTTCATATATCTTTCATATATTTTTTATATGTTTTCTTATATATTCTTGATATATTTTTTATATATTTTGTATATAAATTGTATATATTTTATATATTCCTCATATATTTTTATATATATTGAAATGATTTGCATTCTGATTCTTTGAAGGCTTTTCAATGCTTGCATTTTTTGCGACGCAAATTTGCCTTATCATCTTGCATTTCATTACTCCAAGAATATATCTATACTTATACATAAATAGTATATATATTTTATATAGTATATGTATATGATATATCAACAGACTCCTTCAGATCAATGACAAAATGGTTGAAGTATCAAGAAGACCCCCAAAAATAACAAAAGACACAATTTTTGCGGGGGTTAAGCACATTCTCTTAATAAACAATAAACAATTGGGAGATGAATTTGAGAACTTGTTGCTAGAAACAGTTAAATGACAAAAAGAAAAATATATATATATATTTATAATTATAATGGTAATTGTATTTGATCTATTGTTAAAAATATGGCAAGGTTCTTTAATTGTTTAAATTTTAAATTGATAAAATTCAATCAATAGAAGCCGCTTTCTTAACATCAATTTTCTTAATTGTTTAAATTCAATTACAAATTCTATTTCGCCATGACTTGTAATTGAATTTATAAACAAATCAAATTCATGAATAAACTTGAAGAAACAAAAGCCTGAGAATACTTTGGAAGCCCAAAGATAAGAAGAGCCAGGCCCCAGGGAATTTGTTTATGGGTAGTGATAAGGCCCTTTCATAAGATTTAAACCCATGGAGAATTGCTGAATGGCAGTTAATGATTTATATTAATATCTCTTTCTCTAGTTTCCAACTATTTTCCATAATTTCCATAATTAGCTTTAATTTTTTGTGCTATTTTATTAAATATCTCCACTTGTTGACATTCTTGTTGATATATTTTTTTTATAAATATATATATATATATATATTTTTTTTTTTTTGCTTAGAGAAAAGCGTGAGAAATTTTTGGCCGTGGTTTGGTTTTTCGTTGTTGTTTTTCTTGTTTTAGTTTGGTTTCTTGTTGTTGTTGTTGTTTGGTGTGGTTGCTTTTTGTTTTAGTTGTCGCAGCTGTTGTTGCTTATTATGCTGATAGCGTTTGCTACTTTTTCATTGTTGTTTTTCTTTTTTTTCGTTTTTTTTTTCCTATGTGGTAATGCGAAAAATTTAAATTCGATAAGCGCAGCCAGCTGAGATATTTCATTATTGTCTTGGCTTCATTTTTTTGTATAATAATGTTGCTGTTGTTGTTATATTTATGTGATGTATTTAAATTGTTTTTGGGGGGTAATTGTGCTTACAAGTGGTTCATTGTTCCCTTAAAAGAGAAACAAATTGGGAATTACGATGACAGTAGCCTGGTTTGGGTACCCTTTTTTTCAGGGTATACTAGAGTTTTTCGAACCTTTTAAATATAATCATCACCAGACAGGCAGATCTAGCTAGTAATCACACAGAATTTGAAAGATGATCAGCATCTTCTACTGATGTATCTTTGTTATGAAACCCTGCTTTTGGCATAACTTCATAGCTAGTTTCATCATCTTAGCCCGAGGATTTCATGCCATTTTCATTGATCACAATCACGGGGTATTTGCAAGTCACAGTCACGCCTGCTTTCATCGTTGATTGTGTGGAATGTCGTGACTTTCGGCGCTATTTCCCCCCTGATCTACCCATATATTGTGTTTTGCCAGCCATCTCTCTATTACACATATCGTTGAGCAAGTTTAATTAGGTCTTAACTTGGTTTAGGCCAAGCTCTTCAGGCAATTAACAGCTCATTTGTCGGGGCTTTGATGAGCCAGAGGAGGGGGGTTAGCGGAAAAGCCAAGAGGCGGAAAAGCGGAATTGTGCAGGCATCTGTTTAAGTGGCGCATAAATACCAACCGAGCAACCAAATAATTTCACACAATTTTGCTCCACGCTGATTTTTACATGTGCGCCACGGCACAAATCACACGCAATAAAAAAACAGACAAAAAAAAAAAGGCTACAGGTATACCTCTACCTACCTGAAAAATCTTTTCACGCTCTGTCGATGAAGCGTTGAGTGCTTGCTTTCAGGCCCCCCCTTCTCTCGCTCTCTCTCTCTCTTTGCTGACAAATTAATTAAACACACCTCTAAAACTAAAACTAAAACTAAAACTCAAATCACCATTTAGTCGGTCAATCGGGGGTGCCACTTTCGTGTGATCTAGCGTGGAAAATCGTACACTTAACGCGGTTATTTGTTTTAATTTATTTAGTTTCGATTTACTTAGATTTTTATATTAAATTTAAGTATATTTTAGATAAGCCAAGTGTCATAATATACTCAAATTTTTGGATTTACTGGATCTTTTACGATTAAACATAAAAAATATTATCAAATTATCGTTATATTTCTTTAACAAATTGAGAAAATTCGTTAATTTTATTTTCTCATGTTTATTTTTTAATATTTAAACATAACATAATGCTATTTTGATTATCAAATAATAGTTAAAATAATTATTATTTAATATATTTCTTTTAAATTAATATTAGAAACCATGCACAACCTTATAGCTTCTAGTCTCTGTTATATTTTGTCTTTTTTTCCACTCTTTTTTACACTAATTGAGGTCAATTAGTTTACAAAAACAAACACACACACATGCACACCAGCAAAGACAATCAAATGCAGAGCAAATTTTGCAACATTTTTTTTTTCTTTTGCATAAATTTTTGCAATATTATGCACACATTGGGATGTGACTCAATTTGAAGTTGTTTCTCAGTTAATTATGCACCATTTGATATTTCTTTAAATACATACATATAAATGTAGCTATGTATCTGTATCTGCATCTGAATTCATATCTGTATCTTTGGGATGCGCCACGTATCTTAACCACAAGTCACATCGATCATCAATATGAAAAGGAGACGAAAGATGACGCATAATGTATGCCAAGAAATTCATAAACAAAAATTAATTTTTATATAAAAATAAGGTAGAAAATAATTGAATGCATTTATATATATATAAAAAAAAAAAAATAAAAGAAATTTATTCAAAGCAAAAGAAACAAAAATAAAATGAATTTAATGAAGTTTTGTTCATTTTTAAAAGCATAAGTTACCTTAAAAAAATAAAAAATACTATTTAAAGAATTCTTAAAATACCAAAAATTATTGTTAAATTATTAAATTAACATTTTAGCCATCAATAAATTATATTTTTCATTAAGTTTCGATTTGTTTTTATTTTTTTTTTTAATTTTGCACTTAATTTTGTGCCTGTGTGCCTAAGTACAGTGGGCACTCATTGTACTGCTGTGTGTGCGTGTGTGTGTGTCACCCCCCAAATATACATGCCCCTGCTCCCACCTCTCCCCACTCTCCTCTCCCTAAACAGACAAAGCGATTTATTTATCTCCGCCTGACGGGGGCAATCAAAACTTATTGTCGTCGCCGCAAACCAAAGCCAACCGAAATGAACCGAGTTCAGTTGAGGGACCCCTCTCCCATCATATTTTTATTTATTTTTATTTCAATTTTTTTTTTCTTGCTTATTTTTTATCCAGCGCAGGAAATCGCCACACGCCCAATTAGCAAATACATATTTCTACAGTGCAAGTCAAAAAATTAGCAAGAAATTTACTAAAAATAGTCAGAAAATTAGCTAGATATTTACTAAAAATAGCTAAAAATAAACTATTTAAAATGTTTAAATATATATATTATAATTTATAAATAATATTACATAGAAAAATCTGTTTTAGAACATTCAAAAATAATTTTAAAATTACTTTTAAGCTTTTGCTAATTTTTAATATTTTTGATAAACTTTTATATATATATATAAAATCATTTAAAATTCCACTAAAACAATTTGTTTAAAAGTTAAAGTAACTATTATTTTGACCCTGCTTGTATATGCAATTTTTGGTTGACAGAAACCCAGAGGTGAGACGAAATTGGGGGGATTGCTTGTTTGCGGCTTCGTTTGTTTAATTTTGTGTGCCAGATATTTTTCAATGGAATAAGCATAATTTTGTGTATTTTTTTGTCAACTGCCCCTCTCTGTTCTCTTCTTTATTCCTACATAGCTTTATTATTATTATTTAATTTCTTTTTATTAAAAATTTTGATTTCATTGCAAAAGTTTCGGTTTTCTTATCAAATACTATTTTTCTGCATCGCTGGACAGTTCAAGTGCATTGAACTTTGTCGTTTGCGATTGGCAACAATGATGATAACGAACGAAGACAACGACTACAACGACGACGACGACGATGAGGATGACGATGTTGACTTTGACATGCCGCCCGTTTGCCCTTAAAAGGCAGATACATATAAGATTCCCCCGATCTTTCCTCCAGGAATGTTTTCCTCTTCCCAGGCCTTGGCTTTTCCCTTGGTTTCCTTTTATATGCGGCATGTTAAGTAGGCATAAATGGGCGACAAGTTAGCCTACGATCTACGACGATGGGGTCTCTGGGGGGTAGATGATGATTGACCATTGGGAAAACAGCAAAGATGTAGGGGCGAAAACAAGGAAAATCGGAAAAGGTGTAATCTCTAAATAAAAGGAAGCCATTGCCATGTAGCATAAGTGTGAGCAATCTATTATGAATATGTACATATATCGATAGTAAGCAAGGGAGATCGACAGAAGGATATCAGGGAACTGCGATCTCTACTTCAATGTAAAAGCCTTAAACTATTATATATTTGGGTTTCCCTCTAAAAGTTCTTTTAATTTATCAAAAAAGTAATTTTTATTAATTTTTCCCATTTTCTTTTCTTACAGACACTGCTCTCATTTCCGTTTCCTGCACGAGTGTGGGCTGCCAAAATGGCGGCACCTGCGTCACACAGAACAATGGCAAAACTTATTGCGCGTAAGTACACTTCAAGACATAAATATAAAGTAAATAATAAAAGAAAATATACAAATTAATAATTTTTAAATATACAAATACACCTTGTAAATTTCCCTTTTAAAATTCCTCTTAAAATATTTCTAAAATCTTTGAAAGTTTTCATAAAAAATGTATATATTTAGCTTAATTTTGCCAAGTGTAAAGTAAAGTAAAGTGGATTTCGGGCCAAAAACCTTAAATTCAAGGACACTGGAGTGCCATCAAGGGAATGTGTACTTTGTGTACTTTAATTTAACTCGAAATTCGTCTAGACAAGAGGACAAAGAATAAGAAATAAGGGAAGTTTAAGCTTTGAGTTCTTGCCAGACGACAACGAAAGCGCCCGCACAATTCTCAACGGTTTTGCCGCAGTCTACAGTCTACAGTCTTCAGACTCCAGTCTTCCGACTCCAGTCTTCGGTCTGTGCCTGTCTACAGTCCTCCGTTGGTGGATCGAATCAAATCGGGCTCGTTGTCGAGCGACATTCCTGGCAAATCGGTTTGAACCTAAACGGAGAGTCTGGGAGTATATATTTCTGGTTCGTGCCTTGGGCCTGGTTCGCATGATTTTCACTCGCCTCGTTTTCGGTTTTCTACGTATTTACCTCCTCCTAAACTACCTCTCTTTTCTGTCTCGTATCTTTGTTTTTTTTATATTTGTTTCTCCATGTTTTGTTGTCTATTTTATATATATATATTTGACTTGTTGTTGTCTTTGCAATAAATCAAATGCGGCCCAAAACAAACGGCACGTACGCAACGCATAACTTTGTTTGAGTTATTATAAATAGAGAGTCGGACGGTGAAACGATCGCTATATCCATATATTTTGACAGACTGTCGTCAACAATTTTTACGAGTCTGTGAAGCGGGCCAGCAGAGCACACAGAAAGACCACATATGAGATACGATCCGATGTACATACTATATGTATATGTTCCTTGAGACCTGGCATAATTAAGAATCAGAATGAAAGCCATGATTCAGTTGCATTCCAATGGACGACTCATGGCTGATTGAAATTTTAGGGGTTTCTTCTCTCCTAGATTACCTTGGAATAGTTGTTTATATATTATTTTTAAGGATATAAGATAATGTACTTCCTATTTAGTTAAACCTCTAATTAATTAAACATTATTTCATTTAATTTCTTTCATCCTTGTCTTATACTAAATCTATCTTCTTGTTGTTTACCCAGTCTGATCATCAGTTTGCTGCCTTTTTGATCATCAGCACAAGATCCAAGATCTGGTTGTAAACATGCTTTTTCCTTCTCCCTCATCAGCTGGACTACACATGTCAACCGATCCTCAGTTCCATCCTCCCCAGCTATCTCTCTTTTTCGCTTTGCAACTATCTTTGTGCAATTACATAAAAGCGCTTAGCTTTTAGCAATGCCTCTGCTGCTCTTTTTGGCTTTGCTTTTATTTGTATTTAGTTTTCCTTAAGGAAGCAAGATCCGTGGGTCATTTTATTTTGCCTTTGTCGTCGTCGTCGTCTCTGGGCTTTGCGATCATCAAAGGCACGATCATCAGGCCAGGCCAAGCCATAGACAGTGTGGCCATGTGTGTATGTGTGTGTGTGATATAGCCTACTCTTTCCTTTGCCATATGACTGGCTCTTTCTAGCTGTACTATCAACACTGTTTACAGTGATCTCCGGGAGTTTACTGTAAATATAAATTTAACAAATTATCCAATACCATATTATATGGGACTTTTTAAACTTGAATCTTGGAGTTCTTAGATTTAATATAAGAAAACAGTGCAAATCATGCCTGAACCTGTTGCTAGTGTTTACTGTACTGCTTTTATTTTGGTCTTTAAGTTTGGTTTTCTTTTTTTATTTTCTGTGCGAGATAAGATCGCTTTGAACTTTTGTCTTGAGCTATTCGAGCCGGATTTTTCTCTCTTTCTGGGTTTATCGTTCCGTTAGTGATCCTCGAACCGCTGATCCATTTACCACATCATTGGCTTTATTTGGAATCGCTCTGGTTCGAAGCTCAATGATTATGTTTCTTTCCTTTTTTTTTTTTTGCTTGCCAAAATCTTTGATCAGTTTTCCTCAGTCTGTGGCTGTGCCTGTGCCTGGCCTGTCTTCTTGTTTGTTTAATTGACTTGATTGCTACAGTTTGATGCAGCTACAGAGAGAGAGAGACCACGAGAAACGTTTATGTCAGTCAATTTTTGTGGCTTTTCTTTTTGCTCTTGCGTTTATGTGGCTTTTGGCCATGTCAAATGTCATGTAGTGGTCCTAGGCTTTATGTTACTCCGATCAGAACAATGAGTTTGATTTATATGGCAAATAGGGGGGGGATTTAGGGGAACGGAAATGACAGCGGCAAATGCTTAAAAGCCAGCCACAAAGCGAAATGAAAACGTATAAAAAATAAAAAAGAGCTAAAGCGTTTCTGAATTGCGGTTTATGACATGTTAATGAGCACAGCATTTGGCTCGCATCCCCCGAGCCAAATCTCGTAACTCTTTGGCGGAAATCGCCTTTGATGTATGAAACTATCGTTTCTCTAACTGCTTTTTTTGTATATACTTTGCTGATGAGTCAGTTTAGCTCACTCAGCGAAGAAAATAATAATACAAAAAAGGGAGAATTCAATTTAAATTTCGTTTTGCCCGCATTTAGTTTGCATTACTAAAATCTTAATAATTAAATAAAATAATTGTAATAAAATAGAGACCATTTAGTAGCCAGAAAGTGAATTAATTCACTTTGCTGTGAGAAAGAAAAAAGTTGCCTTTGCCTCAAGTTCGTTGCCTAAGTCTTTTGTTTAATTGCTTAGTTGTATGTGTAATTCTTCTCCTGTATGTGTGTACACATGCATACATACACACATAGATAGCCAAGAATAATTTAAGTTTTTTTTTTTATTTGAACTCTTCTTCTGGCTTGGCTCACACGCTTTGCACTTGAAAACGTTCTTTGCTTTCTACCTTCCGTTTGCTCTTTCTTATTATTTTCTTTTCTTTGAAAAAAAAGAAGAAAAAAGTGAAACAAAAAAAAGAAGAAAGACAGAAAGAAAATGGGAAGAGGGGGTAGGGTAGGATAGAGCATTTCCAAGCTGCAATTACTTTAATTAACTGATCATTAAGCACATTTGCCATGGGGTTCTACGGCTTAGAAGCATCTTTTCCCAGTTCAAAGGAAATGACATTGGAAAATCGACCAAGTTTTCATTGCATTTCGTTTGGTGATGACACATTAAACTTGCGGCGGCCATTTTTATTATACTATCACACACATACTTTTATAAATATTTATATATATATTCCCCTTTTTGTACTTGGCATCCTTTAGATGTTCGAACCCAAAAAATGAGAAAAAAAAACTTGTTTGCAACCTGCACTGATTGCTTTTCTGTGTTACACAAGCTCTCCGAAGGGGAAACAAGAGACAAAGATCCATTTCGAACCAGAGGAGCAGTGGCCCAGGCCCATCCCGTGAGATCTTGGCTAACCAAAAAGCGTAGCGTAGCGAATATTTATTGTGCATTCCGTTTGCATTTTACATTCTTCTGTTTTTTTGGCGGCCCTTTCTGCTCCATTTTTTGTTTTCTTTTTATTTTGTTTTTTTCTTCTTTCTTTTTTTCTTTCTTTTTTTTGATCTTTTTTTTATTTTTTTTTCTTTTTTTTCCTTTTTTTCATTTTTTTTTTTCTTATTTTTTATTTATTATTATCGAAGGCGTTGGCGTACAAAATTCCTGTAGCCAGCTTTTTGCTTTTCTCTCTCCCTGCTTTGGTCAAATTAAAACGTTTTATTGATACTCAATTAAGTTGCGCATTCTCACGAAACTCACGAAAGCAGCAGCCCCACCAAGACCAAGTCAAAGTCTTCGTCTTCGATGATCATTAACCTCACCATCTTCATCGAAGATGATGAAGACGACGACGACGTCGACGACGGGCAGAAATGTTAATTATTCAAATGTGGAATGATGCATTACATAAATCCATCTGAGCTGTGTGTGCCTTCTCATAACTGAAAATGAAAGATTTTCCCAGGCATTACAATCTCTTAATGATGCCTATATGGGAAATACCTTATGGTTTTTCACTCTTCTAGAGTTGGTGTAGATATGTCATTTCAACACAACTCTGACAGACAATCCACATCATATTCGGTGAGAAGAATGCATTATTTATAATGCAATATCTTGGAAAATTGATGCTTAAATTGAACTAGATTTTATTTCAATATTCTTTAATGTATTCAAAATGGTATACTATATTTTTCAATGATAAAAGCTCAGACTTTATGCTGCTTTGGGTTTCAGTGTGACCACATTTGGCTTAGTTCGGGGAATTCTTCATGGTTTGTTTTTTTTTTTTTTTATGATGATGATTGACATCAATTTAAAACCGAGTTCATAAAGATAGTTTTTATGGGCTCGATAGCTTAACGTTATTTATAATTTACATAAGACAAACACGTTTTGTCATAAACTTTCAGAAAAAAAGCTATATACAGTGCAGTGTATCATAAAACCAACCGTTTTTTTTATGAATCAAATCAATAAAAATAAAAAGAAAAATGTTGTTCAGCTTTTTTATTAATCGATTTGAACACTCAAATAAAAGCTTAACAAAACGGCTTTTACAATTCTTGTAAATCTTTCACGTTGCGCAATGGGTTGTTTCCTCTCTACCTGGGAAACCATGTGGAAGTCATCATTTGACGGAGCTGTGTCAGAAAAATGCATTTTCTTTACCTGAGCAAGGTGGACAATGGAAAATGAAAGATCAAACAAAAACCTTAAATCTCTCTTGGAATGGATGGATGGTAACAGAACGGAAAGAAATAAATTTGTTGGGTGTAAAATTTGTTGTTTAGGGAGCAGCATCGGCGGCTGTGGCGGGGTCACGCATTTTGTGGCCGTTTTTCCACTTCGTCCTCCCTTTACACCATTTTCCATTTTCCATTTGCCATTGTTCTCTCGAACAGCTAAACAAATACCGAATGTCTGGGTGAAAGGAACATATAGATAAAGGCTCAGAGAGTGCAGAAAGAGAGAAAGAGGGACGATAATGCATTTGGGCGTGCTGCACCTGCGGAGGAAACCAAAAACAGAACACCAACTTTTCACGTGAAAAACATGCTCAACAGAAGTCGTAAAATCCGTATAAAAAAAAACCAACCATGTAATGCGAGAAGTGTGCTCTTCCCTCAGTCCCTGAACCTCTTTATTTATATTTCTCTTCGCTTTTCTTGAAAACTAAATTTATTTTTTTAACAGAAAATAGAAATTAAAGAAGTAAAATGCTGATAAGAGCTTAAATTCTTATCTGGGAACTTTTAAAATCGCAACACCAAGTCTCAGTGATTTAATGAGCTCAATAGGTTGAAAGTTCAAGCTAAATTAGCCCGGAAACCCCTTCAGTTAATACAATGTAAAGCATTCATAATCCATAAAATCGATCATTAGCAAAGTCTTATCAGCAAAAACAAAATCTGGAATTCAAAAAACATGACAGAGATCTGTGAGAAATAAACTCTATAAGCTTTGTCCCACTGTTTGTGCTGTGATAAGCGGGTTTTTCGATCCCTTTTTAAAGTGCAAAGATCAGCAAAAAATGAGATACGAAGTGTATACACAACCAAGAAGATGTATCTTCATCAAAGAGGCTTTACTTTTTAGTAGAAAATTTCATGAAAATTAAAAGGAATATTAATTTATAAGTAGAAGAATCTATGAAATCTAAGAAAAGTTCCCTGTAAAAAACTATGTTGTGAATTTCCCTACAGAAATTAGATAGCTCAAAGAGTGCCAAAGAGGGAAAGGATGCCTTGCGAGCTCTGGAAGCCATATGTCAGCGGTCCGAGTGGCTGAAAAGATGAATGATCATCGGCCGATGACATTAAATCATTTGCGTGTAAGCATTATAGCCCAGCCTCTCCATCCTAGAAAACCATTCGATACGATGGAGCTGCGCTCCTACTGCTGTGGTTACCCATTCAATCCGGAATGATCGTGAGAAGCGAAATGCAAACAAAAGTATATATATGAATATTTCTTTCATATTCAACTTCAACTCTCAGGGCAGTCAGTCATTTCTGTTTCGATCGCCAAAACCGCAAATTGAGTTGCAAGCGGTGGTACGAATGCAGATGCAAAAGATACAGATGCAGATATACGGTGATCTGATCCGATCTGAGATAGATTTGCGCTTGATTTTCTCACGGCTAACTTGGGGTTTAAAGTGATTTGGAAATTAGATAATAATTGTTGTATACAAAACTGGGCTTAAAGTATGTCAGAATTAGAAGTGCCATAGTGTACAAGGGTGTTAGAACAGAATGAAGTTTTTCCAATATTAAAATATATACAGATTCTTGAACTGCATCATCAGGCGAATCGATTTGGACAAGTCATTTCGTTTCTCTGGGGGAAAAACTTCAGAAAATATATCATTCAAAAGTATCTTTCGTTCTTGATTTGTTCCATTTGATTAAAAACCATTTATTTTCCTTAGTTCTAGTTGTTTTTAAAAATCGGTTTTTAAAAGTAAAGTTTTGTTAATCGAAAATCTTGTATATAAATTTACATTTCACTGAAAATATAAAAATCCCCCTCTGCTCCATTTAAAACCATTCATTTCATTCCATTTCTTTGACGTTTCGAATAATAAAAAAAAAGGTGACTCATTCCCTTTTGGCCAACTTGATGGGGACGGCTTAGACTTAAAGAAGCTAGGAGGGGTAGGGGGGTTAGGGACAACAGCCAGCAACTGCCTCAGTTCATTTGCCAATGCAAGTCACGTTTTCTGCTGCTAATCCCCTCCTTCTTCTGCCTCCTCCCGGATTCAAAACAAGTTACCAACGAGCGACTTTGTCCAACTCGAGCTGAAAAACTCGGCTTGTGTATATTATAATTTATATTACATTCATTTTTTGTGTTGTTTTTTACTCTGTGGGAGAGGGAAATGTCCAACACCTAATTTCTTTTTTTTTTCGAAAAAATTTTAAACACTTTTTTAAGCTGGCTTCTGTGCAGCCTGCATCCTGTCTATCCGGCTCGAAGTACTCTTTTTTTTCGATTAGGATCACCGATCGACAGACTTTGGGGCTAGGCAGGGCCCCAGCCATTCGATTTGCTATAAATTAATGCTAAATCTAAAGTATTTTCACACACTTGTAACGGGAAGTAGCAAAAAAAAAAAAAAAAAAGTGGAGAGAAAGAGAAAAATAAGAAAAGCGGGTTTTCCTCTGCTGGACGACCATCCTCAGACCCCTTTTCTGGTTGGTCAGCCAGCAGCCGCCTTAATGATTATTCATTGCCTGATGCTGGGATGCTGGATGCTACTCGTTCGGTATGTTGCTACTGCGATGCTGCTGCAGCATCAGCATCAGCATCAGCAATGCGTGTAATTTTCTCATTGCAGTAGCAGCATCAACAGCAGCAGCAGCAACAGCAAAAAAAAAAAAAAAAAAAACAAAATTTAATATGCAATCAAGATCGCGCACAAATTACCGTACATAAAAATTGTTTTCTCAAGGGAAAAGTAACAACAACAACAATAATAATAATAACAACAAATACTTGGGGAGTGGAGAATCATCAAAGAGAGAGGAGGAGGAGGAGGATAGTGTGCCATCATTGCATTACTCAACTAATTTGTTGTAGTTTTTGTCTCGATTTTGTCACTGTTTTTATGCCGAAATAAATATGGCTTATGGGAAATTTATCGGTTTTATCGGGTTTTCCTTTGATTCGATTTTTTACAGCTAAAATTCTCAAGTAAAAATTACGGTAACAAATAAAATTAGAAATTAGAAAAAAGTAAAATGGAGTAATTATAAGCAATTTTTGTCCCAATTTTGTCACTGTTTTTATGCCTAAATAATAATGGCTTATGGGAAATTTATCGGTTTATCGGGTTTCTTTTGATTCCTAAAATTCCCAAGTACAAATTTCGGAGAAAATAAAATGTAGTAATTAAAAGAAAGAGATAGATTTTCTTATCCGCAAGAATTTATTTTTGCATTAGCCCCCAGAGAAGACACACGCTCTTCCAATGAGATATATATGTGTATATATCTGAACATATCTTATCTGACGTCTATCTGGGGCTGCTGTGCCTGCTTGGCTGTTTGGCTGCTTGTCTTGTCAGTCTGCTAAATTCCAACTGCAATTCAAACTCCAATTCAAATCCGAATCCAGTCCTGTGAAAGTGGTCCAAAGGAGCCAGAGATCTGGGCGGAAATGAGGCTACTTTGTCAGCTTTAACACTTTGGAGTGTGTGTGTTGTGTGGTGGTGTGAGGACTTTAGCGGGTTTATCAGGCGGCGCAGATCTATACAAATGCCGCTGCATTTGATATTCCCGTCGAATGACTTGCTAAGCAGACCGAGTCTATAAAACACATGGTGAAAGATACAAAATGTGGGAATGCACTGTACAAAAAATTAGAAGAAATCATATTGAAATAAAGTAATTAAGTATAAAATATATAATTATTTTTCCTGTATCTGTATCTTAATCTATAAATGTATGTGCTTTTTTTTCCTATTCCAGTTGCGATTCGCACTTTGTTGGCGACTACTGTGAGCATCGCAATCCATGCAACTCGATGCGCTGCCAGAATGGAGGCACCTGCCAGGTGACCTTTCGCAATGGCCGCCTTGGTATATCCTGCCAATGTCCATTGGGATTCGATGAGTCCTTGTGCGAGATACCGGTACCAAATGCCTGTGATGAACCTAGGTGCCACAATGGTGGAACCTGCCAGCTGAAAACGCTTCAGGAGTACACGTGTGCATGTGCCAACGGCTATACAGGTGAGATTTTTTAAGGTTTAAGGTGCATTTTGAGATGTATCTAAGCTTAAATATATTTATCCACAGGTGATCATTGCGAGACGAAGAATCTGTGCGCAAGTTCGCCGTGTAGAAACGGTGCCACCTGCACCGCCTTGGCCGGTAGCAAAACCTTTACCTGCACCTGCCCGCCGGGCTTTACGGGTCCCACCTGTTCCGATGATGTCGAGGAGTGCCAGTCGAATCCCTGCAAGTATGGCGGCACCTGTGTCAACACCCATGGATCCTACCAGTAAGTGTATTTGAAAATATCCCCAAAAAATTAACCTTAATATAAATATCAATATATAAATGAAGCAATTAACAAACCAAAGCGATTTTGCATATCAATTGATTCGCCGATTATCAATAAATCCAAATGTCAGCGGATGTTATAACTCAACTTCCAGCTGACAAGTGCAAATTGTTTTCTCTGTTCAACAAAAGATCAAACACGTCTGATTCTGTCAAAAAAAAAAAAGACCACAAATCGATAACAAATCATCATCGTTTCGGGTTCGATTTGCATATTAATCGAAGGCGCTTTTTCTTTGGTAGCTGGTGGCTTCCTTTAATTAATGGCCATTTAAAACTAATAATTTATAAAATCGCATTCAAAACTTGTGGTTTTATTTTCGATTTGGACCGATTTGCATAGCTTATTGATTTTCGTTTAGGCCAACAACAAATTGTCATTTCCACTCTAATTAAAACACACAAAGAAAAAAAAAACGATCGAGTCGGACAAAAGATCTCAAATTTCCGGCGATCTTTTGTTTAGAAAACAACAAATTTTACTCTTGTTTTGGAAACTGGTTCGGTTTGTTCATGTAAATTAAATTATTTTGTTTCCTTTTTTTTTTTTGCTGGCATCATTTGCATTTTTAATTTGAAACACACAAATTATCCAATGTGCGGAGGTGTGTGTATATATCTTTACTAAAAAACCATTTGAGCTGAAAAGTGCGATGTGAACATGTGTTTGCCGTTGATTTTGGTTTAGTTTGAGTGTATTTCACCTGGCTGACATTTTCAAAGTAATTAGCATACACTAAAAACAATTTATATGCCTTAAAATATAATATATAGGGATAAAAAATATACTATAATAGGCATTAGTATTTTGGAAATTTTATTTAAATAAATTTTGGAAATTTAAATATTAAAAATATAAAGTGCAGTTAACGAAATATATCCTACTCTTGCACTTCAAAAATAAACCTCATAAATTGCAATTAAATTAGTTTAGATTTCAGTTTCGCTTAGCAAATAAAAAACTTCAAAATAAATGGTCTTTGAGGGTAGCAAATGGGGGGCCCAAATGATCTTCTGCCACCGTTGAATGGCTGGCAGAGCAATTTGCATAAATTTCATATTCGATTTGTGGATTTTATGATGTTTCTATGCTAAATCTCTGTTTAAAGCTTAGTCATAGTTTAGTTTATGAGGCTTTCGATTTTTTGTTTCGTTTTTTTCTTTGGTTTGCTTTTTTTTATATTTTGGCAAAAACAGCAATTTTATTTGTCAACTGTCAGTTGGTGGGAATTTATTAATGGAAACAAACTGTCGAACACACAAAACGAATAATTAAGCGAATAGCCAGGGCATTCGATTTAGGAGATATTCGTGATTATTCCGTGGGGCCATTGAATATTGAGTGGAGTTAAATGGATGAATATCTCGGCAGCACTCCATTTAAGTGGGTTAAAGGTGAGCTGAATTCTTTAGCGAATGCAGAGGATTGACATTGATGATGAAAATTAGGCATTTTAGCTAATGGTATTTCTTTGTTATTAAATTTTTTTTAATTTAATTGTATTTATTTGGTTTTTTTATTTAATTTTTCATAATATGGTAAATGCTTTTTTATCTATTTTTTATCCATATAAGGGTTAATGCATTATTCGAGACTCAAAAGGAATATGTTTTTTGCAACTGAATTCGTACTTGGGAATTTTAAGCTCAAGAGATAGATGTTTTTTGCAACCGAACTCGTACTTGGGAATTTTAAGCTCAAAAGGAAGTTTGTCTTTTGCAACCAAATTCGTACTTGAGCTTTTTAAGCTCTTACTTTGCAATGACTTTTGTTGTTGGTCCTAGGCTTTTTTATTCCATACAAAATAAAATTATAATAATTGGCATCTGCTAAGATTTCACTTGCTCATTAATGACCCCACTCTCTTACACACAGACACCCAAAAAATTTACCAAAAATTCAACGAACCCAAATTAACCAAAAAAAAAACCTAATCTTCATCTGAATGTGAGAAGAAACAACAGCAACAAAAAAAAAGTGGCCCTTGGGGCTATTGGCCTGCTGGATTTCACATGTCAATCAAAAATCAATTTTTTCGTACACTCGTGCGTGTATTATTTTGTTTTTCTTTTGTTGGTGGACTCGCAGGCCAATTTCAATTTAATGTAATTTACTCGAAAAACCTTTTCAAAGGTAGAAACAAAAAATAGAGGGGTCTTGGCCGAATCCAAGATCTGTTCTGTTTTTTGGGGACGGCGGCGGCGGCATTCGATGTGTTGACTATTTAAAGAGTTGCGGTTGGTGCCTTTTAATTGTTTAATTTAATTAAATGCTCTTTAATGGTCTTAATTAGCGCTGGGAGGGGCGTGGTCTTGTCTTATATTGGCCTTTTAAGGTGCTCCCGGCCAAAAAGCAAACCCGTTTTAATGGCTGGCTAACCCAACAACAACGAGAGCGAGCTGGAAACATTTCTCAAGAATCTCAATGCAGTTGGACTTTCGGTTCGGCTTACATGGCACAAACAAATTAAGTTTAAATCACATTAAAAACAACGTATGTATAAGACTGAACGAAGAAGCGGCAGTACAAAATCAAAGTGAACAAAAACTCGGCCCATAAAAGAGAGTCCCAGCGAGAGATACTTCCACTCCATTGGGGTTTTTTTTATATTATATTTTCTTGTTTTTTTTTTTGTGCTGTTGTTTTGTGGTAACAACCAAAAAAACCGGTTGAAACTCCTCTAAGCAATTGTGGCAAAGCCAGAAAGAGACAACGACGACCAATCCACACATACTCACGAATCTCTGTCCTCAGATTGAGATACAAATCCAGATCCGAATCCGAATCCGAACAGCAAAACGGAAGTTCAAGCCAGAGAGACAGATTTTATGGTTTCTCTTGAACTTAATTGCATACTGTGTCGTTGGTTGTCCCGATTTCATTATTATTGCCGTTCTATTTTGTAGTTCTTACTTCCTTATCTATTATAAACAATTTCTTATATCCCCTTTTTTACTTCCTATTTTTCAGATGCATGTGCCCCACGGGCTATACGGGAAAGGATTGTGACACCAAGTACAAACCCTGCTCACCATCGCCCTGTCAAAATGGTGGAATCTGTAGGTCCAATGGTCTGACCTACGATTGCAAATGTCCCAAAGGTGAGTTGTCGAATATTTAATTAAATATCTGAAATTATAAAGGTTATAGTTAATCTAAAGGCAACTTAAATACAAATATTAAAAGCCATCTTCTTCCATCCCAAATTTCATATGTGTATTTCTTATATAAACCAAGTTACTAGGGAGAGCTTGATAAGAAGATTAAAACATCCAAGAATCCATAGGTTGTTTAGGCAACGATACTGCTTACCAATTGTTAAATTGTTAAATTTAAAGTTTAATTGATTATTTTCACATTTTAAGCGAAAACTCATCTTGTACAAATAACTAGTTAACCCCATACCTAAATTCCTAGCTTTACCTCTACTCAAAGCCAAGTTACAATAGGTTAGTACCAGTCTTTCCCACCAAAAATCCACCGTGTTTCTTTCTAAGTAAGCATTTGCTTACCCCCAAGCAGCAAATTAGATTTGCTTACCTTACGATATATCTTCCTCTTCACTCCCCGGTTATCAGTTATTAGAGCTTGATTCTCGATTTGAGCAAGCCCAACCCGAGGCATCAGGTTCTCAGCAATCAGAGGAGAAAATGGGTTTTCGACTTTCCGATGAGAACGTTTCTCAGCGCTGCCTATCGATAGCCAGTTATCGATTATGGTGAGTCATGACTCCATGACAGGCCACGAGCCAAAAGAGGTTTTTGGGGGAGGGGAACTAAGAGAAAAAGGCGCCCACGCCAAAGTATCTGAAGTAGCTGGCTGCCACAAGGGGCAAACTCGTTTGTCAGCATCAACAAAAAAAAAAAAAAGGAAAAAAATATACCTCCTTGGTTTGACCAGCCCAGCAGCAGCATCATTCATCAGTTTGCAACTTTTACATTGCAGCTCATTTCCATTTCCATTCCATTCCATTCCGCCGTTCCGCGAGCATTACAAATTTTAAAAGATCGTGGCCTCATCCGCGCGCGGCTTCTTTCTTCGTTTCTTCAGCTCCCAGCTCCCTCTCTTGATTTTTCTTCTGGCGGTTTCTTCAGCTTCCTTGGTTGCTTTATTGGGTTTCCTTGGCTGATAGTGTTGCATGACCTCCTTAGGGCGTATCTCTGTGCTTAAGCATCCAATTCACCCTGAAGATCATTGCAGAAACGAGAAAGACATGGGATAAATTACACTCGGGCGGCTATAGGGAGTTGTGTTGGGCTTGAAATTGGCGTAATTGTCCCCGATACTTATAATATCTTGCTGGTAATCTCTGTATATTCAGGGATATATTTCTTGAAATATAAACTATCTGGAATTTATTTAAAGGTTATACTTTAGGGTGAGAAAAAGTTCTCTCTATCAACAGCATAATCGATCTAGATAGCTCAATCTTTGACCTCGTTTTATAGTTATTCTTAAGCTACAAGGTTGAAAAAAAAAACTTGATCCCATAGATTATAATTGTCTGATCAGTTGTATCCACTAACCTCTCCCCCTTTTTCTCTACAACTTTTTAACCTTCTGCCGTCAATTGTCGCCCATTCAGTGTTTTTCTTGTTGTAATTCTTATTCATCATGTAAATTGCTTGGATTGCATACAATCGCATACACATGTGTGCATGAGTCTGTATATGTAGGTATGTATTTGTGTTTTGTGTGCAATTTTCAATTAATTCATTTCAATTGATGCGAATTGCACACGACAATTTACAAAAAGCTGCAGTAACTGCAGCAAGGGGAGATACAGCGATGTGATAAGTCTGGCCTTTTAATTGCGGCCAATCAAAAATTCTAATGACACAAAACTCAGCGGAAGAATTGCAATAAATAGATTGGGGATCAACCAAGGATCGTGCGAAAGTATGGCAAAACCATATTTATTTATATGGGAAATTGAGCTGTATATTGAGGAGATTCGTACCTGAATTAAAAGTTTAAATATTTTGTATCTTAGATTATGTTTAATCACTTTAAAACATGATCTTAAGCCTAACTTAAGATCGTGTGAAAGTGTGACCCAAGTCAGAATTTGCTCTCAATTATTGCACTGGGAAAATGTACGCCTTTTCGTACTTTTGGTAGTTTTTTGTTGCCCATTGAGCAATCTTAACCGAATTACAAAAGCCAGCGAACAAGCCAACAACGAAACCGACACGACACGAATCGCCCTGTGGACATCACGTTGCAACTTGCAATAAGAGCAAAAGAAGAATACGAAACAAAAACAATTTGGAATTTGGGTGGGGTAGAAGGGAGAGGGGCACAGGTTGAAGTTGCACTCATTATGCAAAATAGGGAAAGAACAAGAGATGTTGAAGATGTCGTTGGCTGAGAGAAAAATTAACTTAAAACATATCAACAATATTGAAAATACGTAAAATGTAGATTATTTTTTGTCCTTTTAAATTTTCTATTTGTTTCTGTTCCCCGCTTCTTTTTCGTTTTCCTTCCTGTTGTTTTGTTTTTCCTTAAACAGCAACAAGTTGTAGTCGCAAATCAAATAAAAATAATAATAACAAATGCCGCCTCTCGACACAAGCAAATATTTTCATGCACTCTTACACATGTACACACATATGTACATATGTATTTATGTACGGATGTATGTTTGTACATTTGGCCCTTCTTTTGTGGCATTAAAAAACCGACCAAGCAAGAAAAATTATAAAGAAAAAACAAAGCTCGTGGGCGAGACTGAGAGAGAGCTCTACATAACAAATATCTGTATGTCTGGATGTATGAAGGAAATACCATTGCAGTGCGATTTAAATCCTCCAACACACACCAAGATAAATAAAGCGCAATGAACGAAGTCCAAAACTCGATCGCTTAAGAGAGAGAGAGTAATAGCGTGGGGAAGGAGGAATAGGGAGAGCGTCGCGAGAGCGTTTCAATTTGGGAGAGCGAAAAAAGCGAAGCGCGCGCAGCATAAACAGCATTTTTTCATTGTTGTGCGAGAAGGACAGTCCTAAAGAGAGAGGGAGATAGCTTGGCTTGGGGCTCGCGAGATATGAGACCGTGGGAAAGAACAACCAAAGACGTGTTGTGTGCTGACTGTGTGTGTATGTACACATGTATGTTGGCACAGTGGCGTTCGAAAATGTAGCACACAATTAATATAAATAAAATATTTTTTAATAGGTTTAAAGCAGGTTTAAAAAAATATGTTTAATTTGTTTATACTTTAGCAGAAGTTTAAAGATTTTAAGGTTAACTAAATTGGAATCTATCTCTAGATTTGAACTTTTAATTTTAAATGTTTACAACATAAAACATAGTCTATCGAACAAACTTAATGTTTATATTGTTTTATGGGTTTATTTTAATGTCCTGTCCTGTTCGCATGTGTGTTTATATGCGGTTGCCTGTGTGCGTGCTTTTGCCTTGCCTTGTCTGTTTTCACATTACATTTTGTTTGCCCATTCGCTTCGCATGCGCAGCCGCCAAAAGCGAAGCGCAGGCGCAGCAAAACCAAAAGAGGTGGGGAACGAAACCGGAGAGGGAGCGAGAGAGTTTATCAGGTAAACGGAAAATCCAAGAAATAGAGAGGGAGAGAGAGAGAGAGAGAGTGCGACGCCGGCTCTCTCCCTCTCTGAAAAACAAAACAAACATGTGCAGCACAGCTGCAAAGCATTCCTTAGCAATAACAACAACAGCAACAACGACGAAGATTGAAATACAAGCAACAACTTTAAGCGGCCGTTGCGTTTTGTGCGGCTGCTTCGCCCTGCTCTTTACGTTGTTATTATTGTTGTTGTTTCTCAACCACTTTTTGTTGCCTACTCCATTCCTCCTCGTGTAATTTGTTGTTGTTGTTGTGGCTGTAAACGTTTTCGTTTATTGAAGCATTTTATGATGTTGCCATAAATCTGATTATGCACTCCATTGCACAGTGAAAAGAGGATGTAAGACAAGGGAGCGGTAAAAGAAATAGAGAAGAACTTGAGAAAGAGAGAGAGAAGAAAATATCTCAAAGATAAGGCGTTGTTGTTTATTATTAAGAAATGTTCTATTAGTTATTAGATTTACTAAACTTTCTCGAATATTTTAGCTTGATCAAATGATTAATTTTATAGGGAAATTTTGGGAATTTTATTTATCCTAGATGTGTAGGTTTTGTTTTTTTATGAGCATTCCTCTTTTTAAATAAAAAACTATAAAAATGTTATTATTCTAATGGAAAAATCTTATTCTAAAGAAAGAACTATTTAACATCGTCAATACATGATGGAACTTGCAAACTTTCTTTCCATTTTCCTTTCTATTCGAATTACCATGTAGGAAAAGGTACTAATAGAGCCGCCAAAAAGTAGGCAATGTCCAATATTACTCGCTTAAATTTGTTTAGCGGTGCAACTTAAATCTTTAAATAAAAATTCAATTAAATTAATACATTAAAAATTAATAAATAATACATTTCTTTATCCTCTTGCAGGCTTTGATGGCAAAAACTGCGAACAGAACTTCGACGACTGTGTGGGCCATCTTTGCCAGAACGGTGCCACCTGCATCGACGGTATCTCGGACTACAGCTGCAGCTGCCCGCCAAACTTTACCGGTCGCTACTGCCAAGTGGATGTGGACGAGTGCGCCCAACGGGAGCATCCCGTCTGCCAGAACGGAGCAACCTGCACCAACACCCACGGCTCCTACAGCTGTATCTGCGTCAATGGCTGGGAGGGACCAGACTGTAGTGTCAACACCGATGACTGCAAGCAGGCGGCCTGCTTCTACGGTGCCACCTGCATCGACGGAGTTGGTAGCTTCTACTGCCAGTGCACCAAAGGCAAGACGGGACTGCTGTGCCACCTGGACGATGCCTGCACCTCTAATCCCTGCCATGCCGATGCCATTTGTGACACCAGTCCCATCAATGGCTCCTATGCCTGCTCTTGCGCCACCGGCTACAAGGGTGTGGACTGCTCCGAGGACATCGACGAGTGTGGCCAAGGGTCACCGTGCGAGCACAATGGCATTTGCGTGAACACGCCCGGCAGCTATCGATGCAATTGCTCGCAAGGATTCACCGGACCCCGCTGCGAAACTAACATCAACGAATGCGAGTCACATCCGTGCCAGAACGAGGGCAGCTGCCTGGATGATCCTGGAACCTTCCGTTGCGTCTGCATGCCCGGCTTTACCGGAACCCAGTGCGAAATCGATATCGACGAATGCCAGTCGAATCCCTGCCTGAACGATGGCACCTGCCACGACAAGATCAATGGCTTCAAGTGCAGCTGTGCCCTGGGCTTCACCGGAGCCCGGTGTCAGATAAATATCGATGACTGCCAGTCGCAACCATGCCGGAACAGAGGCATCTGTCACGATTCCATAGCGGGCTACAGCTGTGAGTGTCCACCGGGTTACACCGGCACCAGCTGCGAGATCAACATCAATGACTGCGACTCCAATCCCTGCCATCGGGGCAAGTGCATCGACGATGTGAACAGCTTCAAGTGCCTGTGCGATCCCGGCTACACGGGCTACATCTGCCAGAAGCAGATCAACGAGTGCGAGTCGAATCCCTGCCAGTTTGATGGTCATTGCCAGGACCGAGTGGGCAGCTACTTCTGCCACTGCCAGCCCGGAACCAGCGGCAAGAACTGCGAGATCAATGTGAACGAATGCCACAGCAATCCGTGCAACAATGGAGCCACCTGCATCGATGGCATCAACTCGTACAAGTGCCAGTGTGTGCCCGGATTCACCGGTCAGCATTGCGAGAAGAATGTGGATGAGTGCATCAGTAGCCCGTGTGCCAACAATGGTGTGTGCATCGACCAGGTGAATGGCTACAAGTGCGAGTGTCCGCGTGGCTTCTACGATGCCCATTGTCTCAGCGATGTGGACGAATGTGCCTCGAATCCCTGCGTCAATGGAGGTCGCTGCGAGGATGGAATCAACGAGTTTATTTGCCACTGCCCGCCTGGTTATGCCGGCAAGCGCTGTGAGCTGGACATTGACGAGTGCAGCAGTAATCCCTGCCAGCATGGAGGCACCTGCTACGACAAGCTGAACGCCTTTAGCTGCCAGTGCATGCCGGGCTATACGGGCCAAAAGTGCGAGACGAATATCGACGACTGTGTGACCAATCCGTGCGGGAATGGAGGCACCTGCATAGACAAGGTCAATGGCTACAAGTGCGTCTGCAAGGTGCCCTTTACGGGCCGGGATTGCGAGAGCAAGATGGATCCCTGCGCCAGCAATCGTTGCAAGAACGAGGCCAAGTGCACGCCAAGCTCCAATTTCCTGGACTTTTCCTGCACCTGCAAGGTGGGCTATACGGGTCGCTACTGCGACGAGGACATTGACGAGTGCGCTCTGAGCTCTCCGTGCCGAAATGGGGCCAGCTGCCTGAATGTCCCGGGCTCCTATCGATGCCTCTGCACCAAGGGCTACGAGGGCCGGGACTGCGCCATCAATACGGACGACTGTGCCTCGTTCCCCTGCCAGAATGGCGGCACCTGCCTGGACGGTATCGGTGACTATGTCTGCCTCTGCGTGGGCGGCTTCGATGGCAAGCACTGCGAGACGGACATCAATGAGTGCATTAGCCAGCCCTGCCAGAATGGAGCCACCTGTAGCCAGTATGTGAACAGCTATACCTGCACCTGTCCGTTGGGCTTCAGCGGCATCAATTGCCAGACCAATGACGAGGACTGCACGGAGAGCTCCTGCTTGAACGGCGGCAGCTGTATCGATGGCATCAATGCCTACAACTGTAGCTGCCTGGCGGGATTCTCCGGTGCCAATTGCCAGTACAAGCTCAACAAATGCGACTCCAGTCCCTGCCTGAATGGTGCCACCTGCCATGAGCAGCGGGACGAGTACACTTGCCACTGTCCCAGCGGATATACCGGGAAGCAGTGCTCCGAGTATGTGGACTGGTGCAGCCAGTCGCCCTGCGAGAATGGAGCCACCTGCAGCCAGATCAAGCATCAGTTTAGCTGCAAATGCTCGGCGGGATGGACGGGCAAGCTGTGCGATGTGCAGACCATCTCCTGCCAGGATGCGGCGGACAGGAAAGGCCTTAGCCTGCGCCAGCTGTGCAACAATGGAACGTGCAAGGATCATGGGAATAGCCATGTTTGCTACTGCTCCCAGGGCTATGCGGGCAGCTATTGCCAGAAGGAGATCGACGAGTGCCAGTCGCAGCCGTGCCAGAATGGAGGAACCTGCCGGGATCTGATTGGAGCCTACAAGTGCGACTGCCGGCAAGGATTTCAGGGTCAGAACTGTGAGCTCAACATTGACGATTGTGCCCCGAATCCCTGCCAGAACGGTGGCACTTGCCACGATCTGGTGAAGAACTTTAGCTGCAGCTGCCCGCCCGGCACCCTGGGCATCATTTGTGAGATCAACAAGGATGACTGTGAGCCGGGTGCCTGTCACAACAATGGCAGCTGCATTGATCGAGTCGGTGGCTTTGAGTGCGTCTGCCAGCCGGGCTTTGTGGGTGCGCGCTGCGAGGGCGACATCAACGAGTGCCTGAGCAATCCCTGTTCCAATGCTGGTACTTTGGACTGCGTCCAGCTGGTAAACAACTATCACTGCAACTGCCGGCCCGGGCACATGGGTCGCCACTGCGAGCACAAGGTTGACTTTTGCGCCCAGAGTCCCTGCCAGAATGGCGGTAACTGCAACATTCGGCAGAGTGGCCACCACTGCATCTGCAACAATGGCTTTTATGGCAAGAACTGTGAGCTGAGCGGCCAGGACTGCGACTCGAATCCCTGCCGCGTGGGCAACTGTGTGGTGGACGAGGAGGATGGCTTTGGTTATCGGTGCGAGTGCCCCAAGGGCACCACCGGTGAACACTGCGACGTGGACACATTGGATGAATGCTCGCCGAATCCGTGCTCCCAAGGAGCTGCCTGTGAAAATCTTCTGGGTGATTTTGATTGCCTTTGTCCCAGCAAATGGAAGGGCAAACGCTGCGACATCTATGATGCCAATTACCCAGGCTCTGGTGGTGGCAACGACCGTTACGCCGAGGATCTGCAACAGCAAAGGGCCATGTGCGACAAGCGGGGATGCGCCGAGAAACAAGGCAATGGCTTTTGCGATACCGAATGCAACAGCTATGCCTGCAATTTTGATGGCAACGACTGCTCCTTGGGCATCAATCCGTGGGCCAATTGCTCCGCCCACGAGTGCTGGAACAAGTTCAAGAACGGCAAGTGCAACGAGGAGTGCAACAATGCCGCCTGCCACTACGATGGCCACGACTGCGAGCGGAAGCTGAAGAGCTGCAACAGGTTGTACGATGCCTACTGCCAGAAGCACTACGGCGATGGCTTCTGCGACTATGGATGCAACAATGCCGAGTGCAGCTGGGATGGTTTGGATTGTGAGAACAAGACCCAGTCGCCGGTTTTGGCCGAGGGTGCCATGTCCGTGGTGATGCTAATGGAGCTGGAGCAGTTCCGGGAGATCCAGGCACAATTTCTGCGCAACATGAGTCACATGCTGAGGACCACGGTGCGGCTGAAGAAGGACTCCATGGGTCGTGACATTATTATACCCTGGAAGGACAATGTCCGCGTGCCGGAAATCGAGGATACGGACTTTGCCCGCAAGAACAAGATCGTGTACACCCAGCAGGTCTACCAGACGGGCATCCAAATCTACCTGGAAATTGACAATCGCAAGTGCACCGAATGCTTCACCCATGCCGTGGAGGCGGCCGAGTTCTTGGCTGCCACTGCCGCCAAGCATCAGCTGCTGGACGACTTTCCGATCTACAGTGTCCGGGGCATTAAGAATCCCGGGGACGAGGACAACGGTGAGCCTCCGGCCAATGTTAAATATGTAATCACGGGCATCATTCTGGTAATTCTTGTCCTGGCCTTCTTCGGCATGGTTTTGAGCACCCAGCGTAAGCGTGCCCATGGTGTCACCTGGTTCCCCGAGGGATTCAGAGCACCGGCCGCCGTCATGTCACGTCGCCGTCGCGATCCGCATGGCCAGGAAATGCGTAATCTTAACAAACAGGTGGCCATGCAGTCGCAGGGCGTGGGACAACCCGGTGCCCACTGGTCGGACGATGAGTCCGATATGCCGCTGCCCAAGCGACAGCGCAGCGATCCCGTCTCCGTGGTGGGACTGGGCAACAATGGTGGCTATGCCAGCGATCACACCATGGTCAGCGAGTACGAGGAGGCGGATCAGAGGGTCTGGTCGCAGGCCCATCTCGATGTGGCGGATGTGCGTGCCATTATGACCCCACCAGCCCATCAGGATGGCGGCAAGCACGATGTGGATGCCCGTGGTCCTTGTGGCCTGACTCCCCTGATGATTGCCGCCGTGCGAGGCGGTGGCCTGGACACTGGCATTGAGGATATTGAGAACAATGATGATAGCACGGCTCAGGTGATATCGGATCTACTGGCCCAGGGTGCTGAACTGAATGCCACCATGGACAAGACGGGTGAGACATCGCTCCACCTGGCGGCACGCTTTGCCCGGGCAGATGCGGCCAAGAGATTGCTGGACGCCGGAGCGGATGCCAATTGTCAGGATAACACTGGAAGGACTCCTTTACATGCCGCCGTGGCTGCCGATGCCATGGGCGTGTTCCAAATACTCTTGCGCAACAGGGCCACCAATCTCAATGCCCGGATGCATGATGGCACCACACCCCTGATCCTAGCCGCTCGCCTGGCCATCGAGGGCATGGTGGAGGATCTAATCACAGCGGATGCTGACATCAATGCTGCCGACAATTCCGGCAAGACGGCGCTGCATTGGGCAGCAGCGGTGAACAACACGGAGGCGGTTAACATTCTGCTGATGCACCATGCCAATCGCGATGCCCAGGACGACAAGGACGAGACGCCACTGTTTCTGGCCGCTCGCGAGGGCAGCTACGAGGCCTGCAAGGCTCTGCTGGACAACTTTGCCAATCGCGAGATCACCGATCACATGGACCGGCTGCCCCGAGACGTGGCCAGCGAGCGGCTGCATCACGACATCGTACGGTTGCTGGACGAGCATGTGCCGCGTTCCCCGCAAATGCTCAGCATGACACCGCAGGCCATGATCGGATCTCCGCCACCGGGACAGCAGCCTCAGTTGATTACACAGCCGACGGTTATATCCGCCGGGAATGGCGGAGGATCTGGCGGAAATGGTGGAGCCGGTGCCGGGGGCAAGCAGAGCAGCCAGGCGGCCAAGCAGAAGGCCGCCAAAAAGGCGAAACTCATCGAAGGCAGCCCGGACAATGGACTCGATGGCACCACCGCTGGTGGTGGAAGTCTGCGACGCAAGGCCAGTTCAAAAAAGACAAGTGCGGCCTCAAAAAAGGCATCGGCAGCTGGTCTGAATGGCCTGAATCCTGGCCAGCTGGCGGCGGCGGGTGTACCGCCAACATCGGGCCTACAGGGATCAGCGGCAGCTGCAGCAGCAGCAGCGGCGGCGGCACAAGCGGCGGCAGCAGCAGCAGTGGCGGCAATGTCCCACGACCTGGACAGTGGCTCACCGGTGGGCGTGGGCGTGGGCATGAACGGGAATCTGCCCAGTCCATACGACACCAATTCGATGTACTCGAATGCGATGGCCGCACCGCCGCCGAACAGCAATGCGAATACGGGGGCCAAGCAGCCGCCGAGCTATGAGGATTGCATCAAGGTGGGTTTTGGGTTTCCCATTCAAAGAGTTGAGAGAAATATTTACATTTTTCTTTGGTTATTTTTGGTTTTCCAGAATGCACAATCCATGCAATCTTTGCCGGGAAATGGCCTGGACATGATCAAGCTGGATAACTATGGCTATTCCATGGGCTCGCCATTTCAGCAGGAGCTGCTCAATGGCCAAGGACTCGGGATGAATGGTCAAAGGAATAACAATGGAGGAGCTGCCGGTGTACCCGGCATAGTGGGACTCTGTAATCTAAGCGGCCTGACCGCAACTGGCAATGGGAACAGTCACGAGCAGGGCTTGAGTCCGCCGTACTCCAATCAGTCGCCGCCGCATTCGGTGCAGAGCAGTCTGGCGCTGTCGCCACATGCCTACCTGGGTGAGTCATCTACATTTTGTATATATTTTTTCTTTTTTGTTAGCTTTATTTATATAAATAATGTTTTCCTTTTAAAGGCTCTCCATCCCCGGCCAAGTCGCGACCCAGTTTGCCCACCTCCCCCACCCACATCCAGGCCATGAGGCATGCCACCCAACAGAAGCAACAGTTTGGCGGCAGCAATCTTAACAGCCTGCTGGGTGGGGCCAATGGTGGGAGCCTAACCGGTGGCGGCGGCAATGGCATGGGAGGCTCACCCGTCAGCCTGGGCATCATCTCGCCCACGGGCAGCGATATGGGCATTATGCTAGCCCCGCCACAATCCTCGAAAGGCAGTGCAATAATGCAAACGCTATCACCCCAACAACAGCAGCAGCAGCAGCAACAACAGCAGCAACAACAGCAACAGCAACAACAGCAGCAGCAGCAACAACAACAGCAGCAACAGCAGCAGCAGCTTGGAGGCCTGGAGTTCGGTTCAGCAGGCTTGGACCTGAATGGATTTTGTGGATCTCCGGGTAAGTTTCCAAAATATAAATCCTTCAACCTACACAGAGCTAATTTTCCTGTTTTTCCAGACTCATTTCACTCGGGTCAAATGAATCCGCCCTCGATACAAAGTTCTATGTCCGGGTCATCGCCATCGACTAACATGCTGTCGCCATCGTCGCAGCATAATCAGCAGCAGGCCTTCTATCAGTACCTAACGCCACCCAGCCAGCATTCGGGCGGACATACGCCGCAGCATTTGGTCCAGACGCTGGACAGTTATCCGACGCCATCGCCGGAATCGCCCGGTCATTGGTCCTCCTCCTCGCCCCGTTCGAATTCCGATTGGAGTGAGGGTGTACAGTCGCCGGCGGCCAACAATTTGTATATCTCTGGTGGCCATCAGGCCAATAAGGGATCTGAGGCCATTTATATTTGACCATAAGCAGGGACTGGAGGGGGGTGGGGTGGGGATAGGGAAGGGGTAGGGAAAGGGTAAAGGGGGGGAACTGGGAACTATAGGATCTAGAGGATCTGGGGGATTCCAGGGTTTGCAAAACAGGGACTCTTAAAGAGTCCCCCAAGGCTACACACACACACACGCGTTCTATACCCTTCAGTACCAAACTTCAGAAATTCATCAGGAATTCCCGAGGATTTAAGCCATTTCGAAAGGAATTCCCTAGGATTTTCGGAAGGAATTTGTTCAAGAGCATGACTATGAAGGGGAATTCCAAGTTCCTGAGGAATTCCTTAGGTATTTCCCGCAAAATTCCCTAGGAAGTTCTTTGGGAATTTCTTAGGTATTTTCTGCTAAATTCCCTAGTAAGTTCCTTGGGAATTTCTTAGGTAATTCCTGCGAAATTCCTTAGGAAGTTCTTTAGGAATTTTCCTTAAGGAATTCTGGTACTGCAGGGAAGCTATCTATATATATATAAACATGTATTTGTAATTCCCTATTTTCTACGATTTATGTGACTTGTTCTTTTTTTTTTTTAATTAATTTAATTTAAATTTTAAACAAAAGAAACAAGAAAAAAGACACGCAACTTAATTTAAATTATGAATATTATTATGCTTGTTGTACAGTGCCCCGATCACGTAGATATATCTACTCACAATGAGTTGAGAGCTCGTCTTGTGGCGCATTTTATTTAATTGTCGTAACGTCATCGTAGCTTCCAGTAAACCGAACATATAGCATATAGTAATAAGGATAAACTTAGCGCAAATTCTGATTGATCAATTGAGAGAACGTTTCTAATTGTAAGCGTCGCATTACATAACACTAAGACTAAGGTTTTTTTGTAACGAATTCTACATATATATTTATAGTGTAGTTCTGTAGGTCTCGGAAACTGAAGTGCTTATATAAAAACAAAATTGTCAAACGAACGAACTATTTTTTTTACACTACGTTTTTTTTTTATTATTACTATTACTATTATTATTACTATTACTATTACAATTATTATGTATTATTACATAGTGACTAAGCTAAACTGTAAAAAGATTCTCACAACTGTTTGATTTAAGTCGACAAAAAAAAAAAAACAAAAAATGGCAAGGAGAAGAAGAGATCATGGCCGTCGTATAATTTAATAATAATAATAATAGCAATTAAAAATTTTAAAATTTTAAAAAAGGGACGAGTAAAATACGGTACCGACTGGCCGCCAAGTTTTTTATATATATGTTTAAGGCAACGCACCCTTTTATACGATCTAAGCTTATAGATATTAATATATTTTCAAAAAATATACAAAAGACAAAAAAAGACACTACACAAATTAAAAATATAAAAACAATTTTCTTGTTCCCAATTTTATTGAATTTTTTTTTTTTTTTTTTTTTAATTTGAATTGTATACTTTCTTGTGTTCCGTCTATACGTATATATATTATTTGTGTACACCGTTTTTTAAAGTGTAAATTGTAAAATTACTTGTTTTCCTAATGCAAAACTCCAAGACAGCAGAACGAAAATGCGCAACCCCCTTTTTGACATAAATAATAAATATTAAAAATTATTTTAAAACAATTTTATGGGCATTTTTTATTATAATTTGTAAGGGGAATGGATTTGAGAAGTATTATTTATTTATATTATATGTATAAGTTGGAATAATACAGATCGGTCTACCAAATCATATAGCCTTTGGCGAGATCGATCAATTTGACCTTTGTTTTTCTTTCTCTCTTTCTTTCTTTCTCTCTCACTCTTTTATTCCTCCTATATTTATGGGTCTATCTTCCTCTCTTTCTAACTCTTTTACTCCACCATCTGTTTTCCTCTTTATCTATCATTCTCTCCATTATATATCTTTCTCTATCCCTTTTTCTTCTCTATCCAGCTCTCCCTATCTCTTTCTCAATCTCTAATTTAAGACAAAAGTTTGCAAAGCAGAAGAAGGAGTCATTTCCGAATCATATATATTCTTGATCAGCATCCATAGCCGATTTAATCTAGCCATGCCAGACAACAAAAATGTTTTCTAATTTTTTTAGATTCAGAAGAACATTATCTCTATTTTTATACCCTTGCAGGGTATCATAATTTCAGTCAGAAGTTTGCAACGCAGTGAAGGAGACGTTTCCGACCCTATAAAGTATATATATTCTTGATCAGCATCAACAGGGGAATCTTTCTAGATATGTCAGGAAGAAATCGATTTTTTGGCCATTTTTGCGAAATTTGATAAGGGGTTACACATCATTAAAAATTTGGATTTTGATGAAAAATTGAATTTTCAAAATTTTTAAATGAAGTATGCAGATTTATTAACTGTAGAAAATCTTGCACAGAACAGTTTTCCGATTTAAAATTTATGCTCTTTTGGTCGAGTTATGATATTTTTAATAAATAAAAAAATCAAGAAGTTTTTTAATATAAAAAATCCGATTTTATAATACAAAATAATATTTTTCTAAGTCAAGGAATCATTTCCGACCCCATAAACCATATATATTCTTGATCAGCATCAACAGGGGAATCTTTCTAGACATGTCCGGAAGAAATCGATTTTTTGGCCATTTTTGCGAAATTTGATAATTTTGATAATTTGATAATAATTTTACATCATTAAAATTAGCAAAAATGGCCAAAAATTTTGATTTCTTAAAATTTTAAATTTGGTATGCAGTTTTTTTTAAATTAATAAAAACTAACACAAAACTGCTTTGCGAATCGAAATTAATGCATTTTTGGCTTAGTTATGATATATTTCAATTGTTGCCTGCAAGGGTATAACAAACTTTGACTGGCCAAAGTTATCTTTCTTTCTTGTTTAATATGATAAAAACTAACACAAAAACGCTTTCCAAATTAAATTTAAAGCATTCTTGGCTTAGTTATAGATTTTTTAAAATTTGTTTTTTTCCCAAAGATTATAAAAAAATGTTAACCATTTTTTTTATATTTTATAAGGGGTTACATCGTAAAAATATTGAAAATTTTTAATTTTTTAAGATTTTAAATTATTTTAAAGTATGTAGATTTTTTAACCTAAAAAAAAAACTAACATAAAAAAGGTATCCGAATTAAAATTAATACATTTTCGGCCAAGTTATGAATCTTTTTAAATTTTGATTTCTCGACATAAACTTAGTATTTTTTTATTTTATCATTACAATATTATTAATATTAACCTTTAACCCCGTCACAAGAAACCATAAAAAAACACTATGTTTATGCAGTGGTCAGTGGACAATTCTTTACATTTAATTAATTAATTAATCGTTAAGCGTAATTAGTTGCTGTTCCTTAGATAACGGTACTCCCTGGCGACCTTGTCCCCACCTCGCCACCACCTCACACATCGCGCGATGATGACGATGACATTGAAGTTAAAGCGTGTGCGTGCGCTTTTTATTAACAAAACAAAAAAAAGGGTAGGTGATAGTGGTAACTTTTCGACTAGATTTCTTTTTTGGTTTCCCCTGTTTTCGTCGTCGTTGTTGTTGTGGTGGTTACTGCCTCTGAGGTGTCAGGATTGGCATCTGTCGATTCAGGGGATTTCTTGGACCCCGGCACATAGGGACAAACGCCGCCCTTGCACTCGAAGGGGAACTCGGGCCCCTTTTTGATGACATTGCCCTCGGCATCCTTTTTCTCCCAGGGATTCCAGTAGCGCAGCAGAATCGGCTGGACGAACTTATGCCAGATATATAGGAGCAGGGGAATGATAAAACAGGGCACGCACACCATCTTCTTGTCCGTTTATGTATAAAACTGCCAACAATAAGGAACAATAAATACATGAGTTAGGAAAATATTTGTCACTCACCTGCCTGCTTCTCAATTTTCTAATGGGAATGCTTTGTTTTTCTCTGTTTTAATTATTATGATTTTTTTCCGAATAATTTAGGTGTGATTAGTGGGACCAAAGGTGAGAACTTTGCTGACATATGGAAAATAATTATCGATATCGATACCCTGGACTCAAACCTTATATGGGATCCACATTGAGAACAAATATGTAAAAAGGTGTATGAAAAACGATTTAATTTTAAGAATTCCCTTATTTTTCACATTTTTAATTAACAGTTTTGTCAGTTTAAAAAGTTTTTAAAATTTTTACATCAATTAATTTTTAAATTTCTGCCACAGTTATTTTTGGTAATACCCCTAAAGCTTTTCTGAAGACTTTCCTTAAAGAGTTTTACATTTTAAATACATTTTTTTAACGTTTTAAAATTAAATTGCGCAAATTAAATTTGATGACATTAGTTATCGATAAACATTTACCATAGACTCGAACCTTAGATAGAATCTACAAAGTCCACAAAAATTATAATGGGAATAAAACAATTTAATTTTAAAAGTGAAGGCAGTTTTCACATTTTTAATTAACATTTTTATCAATTTAGAAAGTCTTTTGTAAGTTTTAAATCAAAACAAACCCTTAAACAATGAGGTTTTTTAAATCTCTGCCACAGTTATTTTCGTGAATGCCCCGTAAAACCGTTTTACATTTAAATATTAAATATTTATTAATACTATTTTTTAAGTTTATTAATGAAATTTCCCAAGTTAATTTAGTTTTTGCAAACTTAGTTGCTTTATTTATTTATTTGCTGTTGTATATGGGTCTACATATATACGTCATGTGTTTGTGTTTAAATGAAATAGTTTGTAGTAAAAAAGTTATAACAAAATAAATAACAAGAAATCATTTTAAATACAATAATACGCGAAAATACAATATATATGTTTGTATGTACATCAAGTTTGCTGAAGTTTAGTGCACGTTTTATATTTCCAAAAGGTTCCGAAATGGTGAAGACTCAACTCTCAACCTTTACTTTGAATCTCGTTTATAGCCTGCCCGAAACCCTTGGCCATATTAAACCCTGCACATTTTGGTTTACGAAGAATGGCCTCCCCAAGACCCTAGCCCCCACTGCTCCGCCTCATCCTCCTCCTCGACAGACATCTGCAGGTTAGGGGTTTTAGATAAATCAAGGACATAAAATCAAATGCTAGGAAAAAAAAGGCAGAGATCGTCTCTTGATCCCTCTGCCTACACATTCGTGGGCGCATCCATGCCACAGATGACCGACTTGACAACGGAGGCCGCCGACAGAGCCGCAAAATTCTGCCACTTCCGGGTGGACATGCCGTCCTTGTAGTCAGCAATGCCCTTAACCAGAATGAAGCTCTCCCTGCAGTTACCGATGATGCTGTCGAGCACACTGCTCATTTCCACATCGGTGGCCAGCAGGCCATACTTTCGGGCAAAATCGGTGCGCAGCTCATCGCTGCGTACCAGATCCCTGCCGGAGCCAATGGGGCCCAGGTGTAGGCGCAATCGTGGTACACCGTCCACTTCATCCGCCGCTATGGGATGGGCCACCTCGATCACCTCATTGTTGCCAATATTCATGAACAGCTTGTCCGTCCTGGCGTCCGGCCGATTGAAGTCGCTCTCTGTTTTCTGGGCGAGCGTCTGTTGGGCCTGGCTCAAGTAGGTCTCCCAAGGCCGCTTCACCAGCATGTTGGCCTGCAGGCTCTCGGCAATCAGTTGCAGTGAATCGTTGATGGGGAAATAGGTCTTTACATCCTCGCCGCTCTTGTAAACGTAAACGTAAGGCTTCTCCTTGCTAAAAAAAAAACAAGAATTAGAATCTTACAAATTGAATTTATTAAATATTCTTACCTATTGCTAATCAATGCCCGCTGCTTGTCCACATACGAGATCACTACATCGCCTAGTCGCACATGCTTTTTGTAATCCGTGTAGTGCGGCACGCCGCCGGCCACGCCCACAATGAAAACAAAGTCCACCTTTTGGAATGTGCCCAGCAGACGGGTTGTGGTGTTGCCCGTTGCTGTCATTGCCTCCCGTGTGCTGCCCACCGATGGCAGCTTGGTGCTCACAATCCTGTGGGCCCCAATGTTGCCCAAAGTGTAAACGTTCGATTCGCCTGCGAAAGAAGGTGTATAATAGATATAGAAGGATATATCTTGGTAATCAGAGGAGGATACAATGTACAGAGGATATTTACAGGTGCTTAAATACACATTTTGCGGTCTTTACAAAAGGGAAATGTAAAAAATGTAAAAATATACAAAATGAAACAAATGAAACAGTTGACAGAAACTTATTTGGATAATTATTTAAACCACAAACCAGTATCCCATATTTATATGGCATATATTTTGTGCTTAACCTTCGGCATGAACCCCAGTGCGTGACGGATCTAATCAAGTGAACGTTATAGGTGCGTTTACAATAACAGGTCATGTAGCCTAGGACAATCCTTTACCATAACAACAAAGCCAACAAAACGAAACAAAACCGACGACACAACCATAAAATACAGACACAAAAGGCAACACGAATGATACCACAAATCAAGGAATTATTCTAGGCCAAGTTCAAAACATTATTCGTAACAAAGTTTATGGGAAATCATTCAAGTACAGGACACACTGGCTAGAGGGGAAATGCTGTGTGAAATGAAATTAATTTTTTTTTATTTATCAGTAAAGAAAAGAAAAATGTATTTTATGAAATATTTTTATGTACTATTTTCATGAAATATTTTTATTCAATATTTATACTTAAATATTTTTACTAAATATTTTTATAAAATATTTTTGAGTTTTTATAAATATTTTAATTAAATATTTTTACTTAAAAAATTAATATTTATCAGTTTTAATATTGTTAAAAATAAAGCCAATAAAAGTTATTTTTCTTGTAATGAACTTGACCTAACTTAATGAGTGGATGCTACAAAGCTGCAAAAATATCTAGGATTTCGATATATACAAAGGAAATCTAATTTTTCGATGATTTTAAACATAAATATCGATATATTTGCACTAAAATATATCTTAATTATCCAAGTTCTCAATGACTTTATAAATAAATCCCAATGAATATATAATTTATCTCAGTTTTCTATGAGTTAACAAATAGTTATCGATATATCGACATTTAAAATAATTTTTTTTGCAGCTTTGTTGGGCGGGACAAAATTTAGATTTGGATTCAAGACATTGCTTACCGAATCTTCGTTTCTTTTTGGACTTTCTTAGTGAGTTCGTTAGATTGGGATCGGAATCTGTTACATGGGGAACGGGGGATAGCATTCAAGTATTGGTTTTTTTTCGTGGAAATGATACAATGTTTTTGTTTTTCGATTTTTTTTCATTGCAGGCAAGCGTTTGGAAAATCATTCGATAACCGCAGAATTTTGTTTGATTTCAAAATGGGAAGGAGAGAGAAACAGAGAAAATAGAGAGTTAAAGGCAAGAGAGAGTTTCGATTAGTAAAAGAGTCTGGTTTTGGGGGGGGAGGTTGTTCCATTGGGCAATGGTGCTATCAATCGATCAGTTATCGATCTCGTTATCAACATACCGACTGTTGTGTATCGAACAAACGTCTCTTTGTTCTCGAGCATCGCATCCACGGCCAGCTTCTCGCAATACTGAGCCGTTATGATGGCAATGGTGGGTTGCTTGTTGGAGGCAATCGTGGGCATCTGCTTGACCACCTTGATCTCCTTGTCCTCGTGGTGGATGCGGGTGTACGCATTGTATTCCATTGATTTGATCAGGCCACGCTCCTGCAGCGATTGGATCACCAGCAGGACATCCTGCTCGCTCCAGCCATAGTCCCTGGGCAAAGTAAAAGTTGAATTATTAGTTTCAATAATAAATTACTATTAATTATAGTAATTATTCAACTCACTTGGCCAGATCCTCGGGCGAAACGGGATTGGGATAGGCCTGTTCGATGAGCTCCAGCACCTTCTCCTGTGTCAATGGCGGAGATTCGAACTGGGATTCTTCCAGGGAAACTGCGGGTATTTAAAATATTTCAAAGAAATTTTAAGTAATTTAAGCACACAAACATAAGGAGGGGTAGCGAACCCTTGAGGGGCAATTAATGCGGCGGAGAACTTGGCAGCAGCCATTATCCTTTTAGCAAGGCAATGACATCTAACTCTGAGCGGTGGGCGTGGCTGGTTAGTTACAGAAAGACACATAGTAAAGGGGCGGGGCTGCAACGGGCGGAGGGCGTTCAATGGCTCAATGCTCAGGCGGCGTATTTTAATTGCAGGCGACAGACAAAATTGGTCCTTGAAAAGAGGGGGGCAGAAATGGGTACTAGGGGGTGGTGGGAGCAATCCCGACTGCAGGGCAATGCACTGCTTTAGTTTGACAGCAACTGAGACTTGGGGTTTGAGAAATCAACAAGCACTGAAGTTTGGCTAGCACTGGTTATAATATCGCCTTTTAGGCAAGTTAAGGGGTTTTCTAGGAATTTTAATAGTCGTTCTCAAATGTTAAAAGCCTTTAGAAATGACTTATTAATTGTTCTAAATTTTGTAAAGCCTTTGGTAATGATTAATTAATTGTTTTAAATTATTGAGAGACTTTTGTAATGAATTATTAATTGTTCTAAATTATTTAAAGCCTTTAGCAATTAATTATTAATTGTTTTAAATCATTTTTTGAGTCATTAGTAATTAATTATTAATTGTTTTAAATTATTTCAAGCCTTTAGCAATTAATTAATAATTGTTCTAAATTTGGTAAAGCCTTTGGTAACGAATTTTTTATTGTTCTAAATCATTTAAAGCCTTTGGTAATTAATTATCAATTGTTCTAAATATTATAAAGCCTTTAGTAATGAATTATTAATTGTTCTAAATTATTTCAAGCCTTTAGTAATCATTTATTATTTGTTCTAAATTCACTAAAGACTTTGGTAATGAATTTTTAATTATTCTAAATAATGTAAAGCCATTAATAATTTATTATTAATTCTTCTAAATATATATTGCCCGCAGTTAAATAATCCTTAGTGTTTAAGCCAACTCAAGAAAAACATCTACCTAGTTTATGAACCACCCAAAAAACCATAATCAAAAGTTTGGAGAGCCATTCCAAAAATCTATACACTTTAGGAACTTATAAATCTGATTTTTTTCTCATCTTTTACATTTATTAATCATTATCATTTTCATTTTAGAGTGCACAACTCCATTTGTTGTTCCATTTTGGTTGCTGTGAGATTTTTAGTGCGTGCTTTTAGTACGAAAATAAGAAACGAAACGAAATCAAACAGATTAACAAACAACAAGAACAAGAAGGAAAGGCGGCGGGAAGACCAGTGCAACGAAGCGAATACAAAACGGAATTCTTGAGCGGATTAGATACGAGTTAGTTTTGTGGAAGCCGAGGGAGCTGGTCGAAAGGTTATCCTTCCTCGCTCTCATTTCCGGCGGGCGCTCAGCTGCTCGGTGTACATGTCCAGCCAAATGGCCTTCATCAGGTTGTCGCCATCACCTGTCTTCCGCTGCGCCATTAGCGCCTCCTCGAACTTCCGGTTGCAGTCGCCATAGCAGTAGATAATGTAACCATCCCGGGCTGATCGCATACCATTTAACCACACGCACAACCCAGAGAAGAATAAGTCGATATATATAGATAGATAGATAAATATAGGGTTTAGATGTTATGCCTCATAGCTTGGGTCTTGAGGAACTAATAAATAATATTTCTCAAACACAACCCTATTGATGGGAAAATCATAACAAAAAAAATACTCACGTGGTCGCGAGGGGGGTGCCGAGGTCTCCTCCAGGATGCGTAGCTCAATTTCAATAGACTGGATCTCCGAATAGCCATGCTGCATCAGCTTCATGATCTTCTTGATAAAACCCACATAGTCTAAAAAAGAAAATATATATTTTCAATTAATTCCCAAGTTTGCTTACCCCAAACAAGTATAAAACAAGTTTTATTGATAACTCTTACCTCTGGGAAAGTCCTGCGGACTCACAAGCTCTTTGAAAAAGTCCTGAGCAATGTGTGCCTGCTTCTCATCGTTGGTCAGCCAATCGCGGAACCAGAATCTCAGTGTTCGTGACTCCTGCGAATGTTTGCCCGTATTGGCGCTGACCAGAAAGACTCGAAACTCTAAGGACAATGCTGCCGCCTTGGTGCCACTCTTTTGGCCCGCAACTGTGTCCTTATTGATAATGATTCCAGTGTGATCGCCGCCGGCCACATGAACCCGATCATTGATCTCATCAATTAGCTTCCTTTCGATGAGGATCACCGTACTGTTGGCGGTCTTGCCTCTGGGTGTCATCACGACCTGCTCTGTCCGTGGTGGCGACTGGCTTCTCTGGTTGCCGCCAGAGTTCTGAGTCAGTTTGCCCGGTTCCTGGTCTTGGCCTGCGACAATTTTTGTGTAGCTGTTATTGCCATTCGGCAGGATTCCGTTACCGTTGCCATTTCCATTTCCATTTGCCGCTGTCTGCGATTTATTTGGCTTGGGGGGCGGTGGTGGCGGCGCCATCTGTGTATGACTCCTGCGCTCCGACATGCTCCTGCTCCTGTTTCGTGCTCCTAGTTCTCCTGCTCCTTCAATCCGATACGATAGCGCTACGTCCTTGAGCCCAAACTTGGTGGGGCTGCCGAAAGAAAAGCAAAAGTCGACTGTCATTAGTGACTGGGTTACGGTGGAACATGCTTAGGATGGTATTTAGATATACACAGTAAACAATTAAGAGTTAGATTATTAAAGTATATGTTTTTAATATAATATATTAAATTATTTTAAGCTTAAAATTAAGAAGATATTAATAGGGTAGAGCCTTAAACCTTTAAGGGAACTTTGAAATACTTGTACATATATAAAAATATGAATTATCGCTAATATCGTCTTTTATACATCGATACAAAGATGTAAATTTGTTATCGATAAACTTTTTAGTAAGAAATCCATAAATTCTAGCCTTCTTATATTTAATTAAATATTAAATACTATTATTTATAGACAACAAACTTAATTTTTGAGTTTATTTAGCTTGCAACTAATTTATATAATTAAAATTCGTATAATATTATTATTTTTTCTATTTTATCCCTTTTGCAGGACTCTTTACTGTGCCTTTATATTTAGCCAGGTATTCGCATTTTCATATTTCCCCCCCGCTTCCTATCAGGCATATCGAATGTTACCGTCTGATTTCGCGGCTTCTTTTTCCGACTTTCTGTTTGTCTCCCTGGCCGTTTGTTGGCAATGATCCAAACAAATTTAGAATTCATAAATAATTGGTGTCATAAATCCAGCCCCCCTCTCTCTCTCTTGACAGCTACTTGCTGCGACCCAGTGACTTGGTTTCGGGCCTACAAAAAAATCATAACAATAAAAGAGACCAAACCAAAGCGCAAGAAGGAAAATCAATAAGAACTTGGTTACGCCAAGTGCCTGACAACCAGATATACACATAGACTATATATATGCGTATATTTATAAAGGAAAAATGGAAGCAATGTGAAAACCACCTGCCACCCCCTGCAATTAAAGGCCAAAGCAAACTTCCGCCCAAAATGTCACCAAACCGCCGCAAAAAGGTTTTTGACCCCACGCCACCCCGGGGAAATGCACTCAGAGAAAGTTTCTATAGCATTTATGTGTGTTTTGAAAAACTAAACAGAAAGCTGGGTGAAAGGGCCAGCGACTTCCTGTTGAAAAATTTGCATACGACAAACATAAGCCCCTCGGGGGTTAGAGGTAAGTAAAAACGGATGAAAAACTCCAAGGAGAAGGCAAAGGGAATGAACTGAAGCGGCAAAAGAAAAGCCAACGGATGGAAAATGCAGAGAAAATGCAAATTTACATATTTTTTCTAAGGCAAGTCCTTGGAATTCTAGGACACAAAAGGTATAATGTGTCTAAATAACTTTTTTTGTAAGTAAAAATAATTTGAAAGTAGCTTTAAAATTTATGAAGTTCATGTGAAAATATTATATTTATAAATATAATAATTGATTTTTATAATAATACTAATATTTATATTTAAAAAATTAATAAAACCAATGATTTGTATTTATTAAAATAGATTTTAAACCAAAACCAATAGAAACAAATGAATATTAAACAAGCTTCTTAAAAAAAAAAAAGCATTATCCCAAAAATAATTGAAAATTGCATGCCAAAAATTGAGACAATATCCATTCATCCCATTGAGTTAATTAGATTAAAGAGCTTCCTTCCTTCCTCTTCAAAAATTTACTGGAAAAAAAGGGTGGGTGCAGGCACTCGAATTTCATGACCGGAAATTATTTGCCGTCTGCAATTTCAATTAAAAAAAGTAAATAAAAAAAAAGTGCACCAAATATGGCACAGTACATATCATTACAAGAGTACAGTCTCTCCCTTTGGAAATGCATTTCTTCACTTCCGCCAAGAAATATTTATTTTTTTGTGTGCTTTTCGCTTTTACAAAATTGAAATTCCTATGGCGGCAAGTGCCTGACGATGCGTAACTCCCCAGAGTTACAGGGTAAAGGGGCTTGGGCCCCTAGACGAAGAAGGGTTTGGCCCCACGGCGTCATCACGGTTGACAGAGTTCCAGTCACGTGTCTGTCTTGACAAAAAACAAAACAAAAAACACGCTTGAACAAAATTACATTTCATATTTGGCGAAGGCAAAAAAAAAAAAAACAAAAAAAGAAGCATTTTTGGAGTCGAGGTTTACTGCGTGCAATTTCCGCCCTCACACAAGTCACTCTATTTTCGATACCCTGCCAATGGGTGTTAAGCCTGAAAGAATAATGAAATTACAAAGTATTTAGAGACAAAACGAATTTGAATAAATTCCCTATAAAAGAGAGAAAATAAATAATATATTTTCTATATTATAAATATTTTTCTGATAATGAATATAAGCTTTTCTTAGTGTGCTTGGCGTAGACAAATTGCCAACAGTGTCATGCAGAAGGTGAGCCCACACATGGATATAGCATATGTAGCTAGCTCTTAGCCAGCCGTTTCCTGTGGCTCACTTAATGCGTGGGGACTGGCCTGAAATTGGCCTAAAACTATGTTTCGCATTCAAGTCCACAAAAATAAATAACAAAATAAACTTCATAGAAAGAAGAAAATTCTAAAGAAAAACGAGGGAAATGGAATTTTACATACAGTGTGAGTGGAACTAAAATTGTTTAATTTAATAAAAAAAAACATAAACTGATTTCGTTCACTTAAAAAAAAATGTTAAATACTATTTTGAGCAAGTGTATAAAGAATTTAACCCAATAAGAAATATAAGGTATGACACTGAACATAAAAAAATTAATGTGACCGGAACTCCACAACTTATAACTAAAAAAAGTGCAAACTAAACAATTTCGATCACCTAAAAATATGTTAAATACTAATTTGAGCAAGGTTATATAGAACTTAACAGAAGATAAAAAATTAAAAAAATGTGACTGAACTCCACAAATTTTAGCTAAAAAAAAGAGTTTAAAACTAAACAATTTCACTCTACATATATAAGGTATGACACAAGGTTTTTTTCAAATAAAATTATTTACTTAATAAATAATTTTCTGTCACAATTTTGATGAGCTTAGGTGTACTTTTTTTATAATTTGTACTAAGTAAGAATGAGGTTTTTATTTATGTGTTAATCTTTATAGACCTCGACTCTAGATAAAAAAAAAACCATCGCATATTCACAAAGTGTATAATCAATTGGTTTATCTACCCACCAAGTAATGACGACAGATAATTACCACATCATTTCACGTATACGTATTTTTAGCTTTGCCTTAATTAGACGAAGGGGCGAACGTGACTCAAAGTCATAGTTGCTGAACCGATTTACCCTGTCCTAATAAGTGAACTTATTGTACTTATTTAGTGAGTCAGACAGAGAGGAAACGTGATTCGATCGAACTTTGTTGATATTTTTTGTAGTTTTTTTTTATAGTTAATTGACAATCAACTGCGTTTGTTTTTGCCCCGGCAATTAGCTGGATAAAAAGATATAAAGCTCGCTTTTTTACACAGGGCTCTCTGGGTCTACTTAGGGCTCGGTTCTGCCCGATTAAGCAACTCAATGGGCGAATGTCTGGGCATTGCTGCTATATGACTCTTGCCCCATCATCATCATCCATCAGATTATAAATAAACTCAACTCGAATGGTTCTGGACATTTTCATAATTTCGTTGTTCATGTCAAGGTTACTCTCGGCTCCTCCTCTGGCAGCAATAGATACACTGCCTCCCTCAATTGTTTTGTTTACAAAACAATTTGGGAATTCTTTTTAGCAATATTTTGGCTGCTTATAATTATATTATAGTTGAAAAATCGAGCAATATATTTGAGGAAAAATCAACAAACAGCTAATCGTGCTAGATTCTTAATCTCTGTGCTAAATTTGTAAGCATTAAATGAATATTTTAGGATACATTTTCTAGTTCTTTCTAGTTTTATATATAATCAAGCACTATGATTTGGGTTTCAGTCTTAAATCTAAAAAATAACTGCGAAATATACCTTTATTCTTGCCATGAACTTTAACTGCCAATCGAATTTGAATACGAGTTCAATCAGAATTAGCATATTTGAATAGCATTCCGAGTCGTTTTGAATTTGTTTTTCCATTTCGGTTAATTGAGTTCGTTTTGCTTTTTTTGCGGTTTTTGGTTGGGGTCTCTGGAGGACTTGAACGCGTCGATGACGTCAGCGGGGTATGATATAGTATATAGCGCATTGCGTTATGATGAGTTTTGAACGTTCCCAACCTCTGACGCCATGTTTGTGATTATTTAAATCGGCAAACAAGTTGGGAATTTGTCATCGCTACTTGGTCTGACCTTCGTGGCAAACAATCTGAGCTTAAAAAACAAAAAAAAAAAACCCTGAGAACTTTGTGATATAAATATTATCTATCAGGCAGGGCAACTTTTGATTACAACATAATTTGCAATTAATTATATTCTACTTTGCTATATAAAATCCCCATCATCAACTCAGGTTCCAAACCAAAAACTATCCAATATTGTTTCCTCAATAAATATTATTGAAAATCAACAACAAAATCTATAAAATATATATAAAGTATTCAAGTTTCAAAAAGGACTTGGTTGCGCGTTTGGTTTACGCTCCTTGAATTCAACCACGCGATTAAGGAAGCCGCACAGCTTGTTGTGATTGTTGCTCTTGTCCGCAAAACTCTTGGGATCCTGTCCATTCACCAGAATCTCCTCGGCGTTCAACTGCTGGGCAATGCTACAGCGACGCAGCGGTAGGTGTATCAACTTGTCCAGCCTGGTGGCCACCACCACAATGGGCACGTGATTGGTCTTCAAGATCGAATGACGTCGTCCGTGGCGACGCTTGCAAATCTGACGCAACGGCTCGTATAGATAGTCGTGCAGGTTGTCCTGCGAACGGGGATCCTGCAGATTGTACACCAGGACAATGCCATCGATCTTCTGGAACATGGCCCTACGTTGTAAGCGCTGCATGCTACATGGGCTATTCATATCGATGAATTCCACGAAATACAGGATATCGGATGTGAGTGGCATGCGCCGGGGGAACTCTGTTTTATCCAGATACTCCGACGAGGAGTGCGATGTCCAGGTGGGCGTTGGCGGCAATTCCGCCGTGTTGGGATACTCGTGCAGCCGTACCTGGATGTTATAATAGGGATGGCTCACAGATCTAGAGGCGACCGTTGGCGTATCAACTGTGCAGGCCATCAAATTGGTCACGCTCGTCTTGCCCACACCTGGCAGTGTGGGGGAAGTGAAATGGTTAATTCAATATATCCAATGGCATGAAAATCATTGCGCACCTTTATCGCCCAACATAAGGATGCGGACCGTGGGCACATCATTGAGCTGGATCGGTTTCTGTGTCATTTTCGCACAACTTGTCGAAATTTCAAGATTAGGAACCGAAATTCTAACCAACTTAGTACTAACTCCTTGCCTACTCTGTTTCAATTTCATAAATAACCTTGGAGAGGATTTTTCCAGTATATTACCCAACTAGGTTTTATGTAACAGGACCTACAATTTGAGTTTTAACTAAAATTTTTGAAAAAATCTACAAAGCTTAACAAAAAGTAAACAAAAATCAAAACTTTATGCTATCGACAACTTGATAAAATGCCGCTTCTCCGATAAATCAATGATGGCTTCTTCTTCAAAACACATCAGCTGTGGAAATTCATTAATAACTTTTCTCTAACAAAAGAAAACTGTGCATGTTGGTAGTGGAATTTTGGAACAAGGATAAACCGTATGTTTTCTATATTCCAAACAATCCTTGCCATCTTTTTTTGTTTACGTTTTCAGTAACAAGAAGAAGAATTCAGAGTTGCCCCGAAAAACAATTGGAAAAACTATCGGCTAATTAGGCTTTATTCAAAATTGGGTGAAGAACGAACTTAAAAACTCTGGGGAAGGTCAAAGAGTAACGAAAACCCTATGAAGGAAATTTCTAAATATACGTATAATGTGTAGTCAAAATATGCGAGTTATATGGATTTTCTTTTCAGCCTTTGGTTATAATAATTTTGATCAGAAAAGCTTCCCCTTTCCCAATTTTGTAATTTTCTAGTTTCTGTTTTTACAGCAGATATCATTAAAGTATTTCCCCGTCAGACTGTCTGGCCTTTCTTGCGCAAATTGAGCAAATATTTATACTCTCTGTTGATATTTCAGATATCAAGATTTATCTCTCTTCGGCCACAATCTTTCGTCAGATGCCTCGCGTGGGCGACAAACAAAAAAAAAACACTATAGTGTTTCGAGAAATGAGCAAGATTTCATCATAGGTAGCCATGCGTCATGCTGCCCCTATTCTCCGGTTATTCAGAATTCCACGATTGGATCATTTGATCAATTAGCCGCGGATCAATACTTATTGCAGTGCGTGGGGTTACCCCACATTCCTCCCCACTATCCCTCTCTGTCTTTTAGAATGACCAATTATAAGAACGTTCCTCATTCCAATTTTCCCCATTTATTTGTCGTTTTTTTTTCGTATCTACTTTGTCCACGTAATGGAGAATCGCTTGTTTCTTCTGTGAAGATATAGATCCGACTTTTTGGTACCCTTGAAAAAAGCATACTAGTGTGAAAAGTTAACAAATAGCGGTTTAAATATGATTTTATTTAGGTTTAGATAAAGATATTTTTCGAAATAACCATGAATTGACAAATATATCGTTTCCAGTTTAATTTTCTCATGTAAATTTGTAAATTTAAAATGCTATTTGATTTTTTAGATCATTTTCAAGCTAGTCTTGGAAAAGTTAATTAATTTTCAAGTCGATTGAGTAAGGAAGAAAGCTTAAATTAAAAATGAAACCAATACACTCGAAAGGCAACCCATTAAAAAGTAAGGGAACCACCAACTCAAATATGAAGGCACGCAACAGAAGAAAAGTCGGCGTTCTTGGCTGACATTTCCCCGCCTTAAAGTGGGAATTAGCGAGGCAAAGTTCAGCAGCACAGAAAAAACAAAAGAAAACCCAGCCCATGAGGGTTGCCATGACTTGGGTGGTGGTGGCGGTGGTGTGGTGGTGCTCCATAAATTAGAGCGACTTGGCAATATGGGCAGTTGGGACAGTTTTATGGCCACGAAGCACACACATCGAAAAAATGCAGTTTACAAATGCCCAAAGCACACTTTTCTCCCTTCCAACCCCCATCAGGCCGTTTTGGCTCAAAGGGTTTTCCTCTTTTACAAAATGGGGGCAAGTTTTGCAGTGTGTCAGTATGGTGGGTGGTTTTGGGTTCGAGAAGGAGTGCCGATTATAGGCTGATTAGGGCGTTATTTGGTGACCTATATAGCGGCTAATGTGAGGAGAATGGGGATGCAAACAAAGAATATAACTATCAACTTTTAAAATCCATAGAATAAAAAATATATACCATCTGCAAGGGTATAAAAATACAGACCCAGTTAACACTAATCCCATTCCCTAACCCCCCTCCCAATTCTTAACGATCTAAAATTACAAAACAACTTTCAAGTAGGCCGATCAATGCATAGAAAGGGGTCTCGGCAAGAGTGAAATTCACGGCTCATCTCGAATTGCATTTGTTTATTGGCAAAACGCACGAACAAAGTAGGTTAGCAACTTTTCATATCAATTTTCACGACGTCCATTGACACCTCTTCGTTGCAATGCCTACTTCATTCCATTCCACACATCCATTTAAAATCATTAAAAATAAGGCTACAATTTAGAAGAAAAAACTGTGGAAGAACTAAAATCAAAACACGAAATAGTGGAAATTATTTTTAACTGAAAGGCCGGACGACTGACCGGCAGCAGGGGAGATCGAAATCCGGGAAAGGAGACGACGCTCCTCAAAGTTGAATGAACCATGCACACCGGCAGCGACGAGTATCGAACAGATAATTATAATAAGAGCAGATGGTCTCGGTTCTCTGTTCTCGGGTCTCGACTATGTTATTCCTTGGAAACAAAGGTGTCTGTCTGGCCAGCAACACTCAAGAAATATTAATATTTCTCTGGCAAAAATAAAAATTAAATAAACAACTTGAGCAACATATTATTTTGAGTATCTTAAGCTGTCTTGGTCTATGAATTCCATTAACAATTAAGTTTTCCATATATTTATATACAGAAATTTGTTATTGAATTAGTTTTAATACTCTTATTAATATCAACAATGCTCATAAATTTTAAAAACATAAAATCGTGCCAAGAAATGTAATATTGAGGCATAAAAGTATGCCAACCGTTAAACAACTCTTTTGTTCGCATGTACCATAAATATGTTCGAGATGCATTAAGAAGGATCTTAAATTTCCCAAAATAATAAATTTTATTTACATTTTTCCAGAATTTTCCAAAAAGTGTGCAACAAAATTGCGTTGGCATAAAAACTGGACCGATAAAAACAAAAACAGGAAAGGAAGCTAGAGTTGACAAGTCGAAGTGTGTATACCCTTTAAATAAGAAATTTATACAATCACTTTTGTGATATCTAAAAGGTATAGATAAAGCCTTTGAATTTAAATTTTTAAATTAAAAATTTGTAGGTTTTGTTTTAACTATGGGATACAGTTGTTTAATTAATATCAAATCAAGATCTTATTGATCTTCCAACTAAAAACTCCTTTTAAATATCTAAAAAAAACAAAGGAACCGTTCTAGATCGACTTGTCTGAAGATGCAAATCAATAAAAACCTCTTCTTCTATGTTAAAAGCTTCTGTAAAAAATTAAAATACCCGTCAAAGGGTATTAAAAGCACGGCTAAGTCAGCAACAACAAATTTTGCTGCGATAGCCACCAAGAATGAGATCATTTTTAGACTTCTCTCACGTTTTTCGGTTTCTCTCCTCTTTTGTATACATTTTGTTAACCGTAAAAATTGTTGAAATTTCCACCGACTGGAACACAGCGGACATGATACAAACAAAATAAATAAAAAACAGAACAAATGCAGGTCAGACAAATGAAATAGAGACGCTGGGAATAAACCGCGACATTGCAAAGTGGCAGCAACGGAAACGGATTTAGATAAAACCCAGTAAACATATGTATAAATATATATATTGTACGTACATATATAAGGCCAGACAAACAACAGAGTTATCAAAGAGCGGAATATATTGCAAAACTCACTTATAAAGGGTAATCGGTCCGGTTAGTTCTATGGAGGTCAGTATCGTTAAATTCACTTAGCCTTGCCGCCGACTCAAATTGCTCAAATTTAAATTCAAATGCAGGCAAAAAATATAAAAAAATAAAGGCAAATTATTTAGCATACCCTCGGAAATTGGATGTGCACGAATTGTGGAGAGCTTGAACTGTTTTAGGAATTTTGCCACCTTTAGGGATTTAAGTGGCTTTTAAGTCTGTTGTAGTTCTCGTTATTAGCTCGTTATTTGTTTAATTTTTAATAGCTGAACAATTAATAATTTTAAAAATGTATTGCTTTTATATAAAATTAAAAATGTGCTTAAAAAAACTTATTTTGGATATAGGAAACACTTTTAATATTTAATTTTAATATTCCAATAAGATTAATTAAGTATAAATTGAAGTCTATAATATTTTCTCTCATATAAAATAGACAATATAACTTAAGCCTCTTAAAATATAAATAATCCTATATAACATAATAATCCCTAAAAATTTAGCTTATGAAAGCAAGAAAACTGTTGTTATTTATAGTTATTTTGTAGAAAAGTGCCACAAAAAAGTATTTTATCAAATAACAAAAAACCTTTTTAGGTATTTATAATTAAGAAAGGTGAAAGTACGTCGTATGTATAAGAAACATTTTCACCCACTTCACCATGCTACACTGTACACTATAGACTTACTCTATTCACTACTTACTATTCACTCACCTGTTGCTGGATCGGCAATAGACAAACGGCGAAAATAAAATTACGTGTTTTGCAACCGGTTTTTCCTTTTATTTTTAGTTTTTTGGTCACTTCTATTTGGTTTTTTTGGTCACTGCTCTAAATAAAAAAAAATCATTGATGTTAACAACTTTTTCACAGAACTCTGATTGGATGCACAGCGCAAAAAAAATGTGGAAAAAAAGAATGCGAAACACGCGGCGATAAAAAAAAATCGTGTGTTTTTATCTTATCGGCAAAGAGCGTGGCGGAAGAGGGAGGGAAGAGTTGAGCAATAATTTCCATTATCAACTGATAACACTCGCGGAGTCGTTGATACATACACTTCCAGCTCTGTTTGTTGTTTGCCCTTGTTGCTGTTGTTATTTCTATATTTGCAGTAAGTTTTAGTCACCAATGAAACCTCTCCTATGAATTTTCTGCAGTGTACTTGAGTCATCTGATCGCTAAACACGCTCAGTGACGTCATAGTGCCAAAGAACAATAGAAGACAGAGAGAGAAGAAGAGACAGGGGGTTGCGTGCACTTGAAATAAAACGGTAGAAAAGGCCAGGCAACAACAAAAACAACGACAAGCAGCAACTGGTTCACCTTCAGCTGATCAGCCAGATGATGCCATCTCCCTCGCTCACTCCATTCAAATTTCAAACAATTGCTTTTTTTACTTGCTACACTTGCTAGAAGAACAACAAAAACAAGAACAAACAGGATAATAACAAGAACCGAACGCAAAAACTGTGACAAACAGCAGCCAAAAAAAGCAATATAATAAATAAATATAAAAAAACAAAACTTCCGCCGTATATTGTCTCTATAAGAGTACGTATTAAATTAGACTCTCTATTTATATTAATAAATTGCACTCGCTGCGTATATTTTCACCGAAAGTGCGCGCGTCGCTAAGCGAAAGGGCGGAGAGAGAGAGAGAGCGGGGAAGGAGTAAAAGGAGCGCGCGTACACTTACGCCAAAATGCCGGCAAAATAAAACAAGGGATAGTTAGCACTTTTTTCCAAATGCGTCAGCTGCGTTCCGTCCGTTTCGTTCAAACTTTTTCGACTGACTGACCAGATTCGACTTTCGGTTGCGCGGCCAAAAATACCGAAAGCCAGGGGCAGTGTGACCAGCAGCACAACGAGCTGATAATATTAAAAAGCTTAAAATGAGGTAACACCAATAGGGTGTTTCGATAACAGATTTATTTATTTAAATTTTTAAAGTATTTGTTTGAGTGGAGAACTTTGTAAATTTAAATTTAAAAAAATGAATAAACAAACTAATTTATGCAAAGTTTAGTTAATTTAAATATACGACCCTTTGGACATAAAAGCTGGTTTTTAGATGTTATCGATAGATTAGCAGGCGCGCAAGTTTAAAAAGCTTTAAAAATAAATACGTTCTTATGGTTTCTTATTTTAGTAAAAATAAAAATAATAATTTAAAATAAAATCTATTACAAAAAAAAAAACACAAATAAGAGAAAAAAGGAAATTGAGTTGATTTTGTATATATTTATAATTAATTTTTTATTCATTTTCATTTTCTTTTTTAAAAACAATTCAAAAAATATTAGTTTTAAGCTATCTCAGACGTGACTTTCCAACACTGAGGGGTTGCACATACATATTTACGTTAATTATATCGACAAACCCAAGCTTAAAAGGCACTTAAAATTATTACTCAAACCCAGAAGCGGGATTAATCATTTAAAAGCTGGCCACGCGCTGTCAAAATAAAATACGAATCCATAAATATAATCGAATATATGAGCACGTGAAAAATAAACCAAGTTCAATGAGCCAAAGCCGAAAGTGAACAAGTATTATTAAGAGCGAGAACCGGTCGTCGCAGTTTGTTTTTATTGTTTTTACTTCATTTGTTATTATTTTGATGTCTCTGAGGCTTACTATCAGAAAAGCCCAAATCGTGTGTCATAGGTGTCAAGACGCATTTGCTGGGAGATAATACATCGTCGGCTCAGGGAATAACAAAAGCCATCGATTGCTTCTATTATAATTCGTATTTTTGAGAGACCAGTTTTTGAAAGGTTTTTTTAAGAAAAAAAAATACATATATTCTATTAAGTTACTTTACAAAAATAATTTTAAAAAAAGTAACACATAAAAAATATATAATTGGAAATCTGTAGAGTAATTGTTCAAATATTAAAAATTAATCTTAGACTTCGGAAAGCCTTTGTATGCCTTAAAGCTTACTTTTCTCAACACACAATTCCCTTAATTAAATCTCTCAGTGTGACTGGCTTGGCTTTTGGTTAATTGGCACTTGGGAAGTTGGAAGTTGCCCGGCTGGTTTCTGCGATCTGTGATCTCGCGCATCGCCGATTGCCGGCCGATCTCAGCGTTTTTAGCCCCACTGCATTCCCCATCTGGCGACGAGCAAGGAAGGAGATTCCCCATCCGAGATCCGAGATGAACGCTCCAGCCGCCGGCAAACATATGTATCAGCTTCTTCTCCTCGTGCTGCTGCCCCTAATTGCAGGTGAGAGTAACCTAGACTAGGCAATTTTAAAAGGTATGATTAAGTTAAATCAAAAATAAAAAACTAAAAAAGCTATAAAATACATTTTGTGACTGTTTCAAATTATTTAAAGTCCATAAACTAAAGTTTTACGTTATTTTTATATCAAAGTAAAGCATTTTTATATCAAAGTAAAGCACAAAAGCTTAGTTTTTTAATATCCAATTTATTTTATTTATGAAATTTGTCTTCAAATATTAAAGTTTTTAACTAATTTGTGTATTTCTCACAACTTTAAACCCAAATAAGCAAACCAAACGCTCTTCCCAATTCTCTAGAACTTTTTAAAGGGGAATTTTCTTGAATATTTCTCACCTTTTTTACTCCTGTGACTCTTAATTTGTTTTATTTTTTTCAAATTTCAGTTTGGGCCACGCCTGCCATTAGTCCACAGTCTCAGCGCGGCATTATCTTTCCCAAGGAATCCTTTGATGACTGCTACCTGGATGATGTACAACGGACGAAGGGCACCTGCCGTCGCATGGAGGACTGTCCCTCCGCTGTAAAAAGCTGGCTAGAGAAACGAGAGTCGCCCAAGACCTGCTACTTTGTGAAGTTTGATCACTTTGTATGCTGCAATCCAGAGACTGAAGTTCCAGAAATAACCACCGATGAACCGCCCACGCTGCCACCCACCCGTAAACCCTATACAGCGCCGCAGGTCCAAAGGCCAAGTCTGCAGGGTGAGAGAAAAAGAGAGAGAGATCCTAGTCACTAAATTCTAAGTTAAAGTGATGTAATCCTATGACTAACCAGGGTTTCCCCTTCTATCTCGCTTATCTGTGTAGCTTGTTACGATTACAACAACGTCAAGGTGACTAACGAGAATGACCTGACCTTCGTGATCTCAGTGGTGGGCGGTATGCCAACACGTTACCGGGAATACCCCTTCATGGCGGCCCTGGGCTGGCGCTCCAGCTTCGACCAACGGATATATTATCGCTGCGGCGGTGCCTTGATCTCCAGTACCTATATCTTGACGGCGGCTCACTGCGCCGACTTGGGCGGCGAACCCCCCAGCCAGGTACGACTCGGTGGCGATAACCTGACCCTAACCGAGGGCGAGGACATGATGATCCGGCGCGTTTTGGTGCACCCGGAATATAATGCCACCACTGCCTACAATGACATTGCTCTGCTGGAGCTGGAGGCACCGGCCAAGCCGGAACTCCGTCCAACCTGTATTTATACGGAAAGCGAGGTGGTCAACTCGCTGGTCACGGCCATTGGCTATGGGCAGACCAGCTTCGCCGGTCTCTCCTCCGCCCAGTTGCTGAAGGTGCCGCTCCGGCGGGTGAGCAACGAGGAATGCCAGGTCCACTATCAAACGGATCAGCTGGCCCAGGGTGTTCAGGCTAGCCAGATGTGTGCGGGGGATTTGATTGGGGAAAAGGATACCTGCCAGGGTGACTCCGGTGGTCCGCTCCTCATGCAGGACGAACATCTCCTCTATGTGGTGGGCATCACGTCGCTGGGACAGGGGTGTGCCAGCGGCCCGCCATCGGTGTACACCAGGGTGTCCAGCTTTGTGGACTGGGTCGAGAGCATTGTGTGGCCAGCAGGATTTCAGTCGCAGCCGCAACAGCTACAGGACCGGATGTCATCGACACCTAAGGATATGACTGGACCCGAAGTCGATCTGAGAGCCATGATATAATTATAATTTATTTCGAGATTTTATTGAAACAAAATAAGAATCTACAGGATATCAAATAAATAACCAATTTGATTTGGTTTTTCTTTAGTATACTTTAAGTTTATTTGTTAAACAATAAACAATGAAAAATCACTGAAAAAATTACTGTTTGATGCCATTAGATATTTTAATTTTTCTATATATTTTATTTATTAATTTATAGTCTAAAAAATATATTTATAATAAACAAAAAGTCAAGGAATTTTAATTGGTTTTTTGAGAGTCGATAAATTTTGGTTAAATGAAAAAAACTAACTTTACTAAGGTTTCAATATTTAAATTTAATATAAATTATAAATGTACCTATAAAAAAACGTTTAAGTAATGAATTTAATGTATTTTTGGCTTAGTTATAAATTTTTTTAATTTTTTTTTTAAATATGTAAAATAAAATTTAAATTAAATTCGGTAAGCAGTTTTATTAACCTTATAAAAACTAACTCAAAACAGCTTTTAAAGATTAATTAATTTACTAATTTAATTTTTAAATTAATTAATTCATTTTTTTTTTAATTTCGTGCATTTTTAAACTTGTTTCAAATTTTTTAAATTTTGATTTTACCCAAAAAAATATCCTAAAAATTGCTACACTTTTTCAAAATTGTATCGTACTTTGATAAAAATATTGTTCTATATTTAAGAAAAATTACCCTAACAGAAACTCGTATAATAGTGTTATAGCCGTCCGATCTGGCCTATTTTGATTTACTATAATAGCCTGTGAGGATACTAATAAAACTCAGAAATCTATAAAAGATACCTTAAAGTCTGTTTTTAAGCTCTCCTTCTTCCAAATAAATAAATATTATAAATAGAAATAGAAATATAATTTATAAATATATATATATATATATAAATATGTATATAATTAAATATATATTATAAATAAATATATTAATTCAATAAATATTAACTTAAAGTCTAATATAAAAACCTAAATATTACTTACCTCATTAATTTCACTTTCATACACCTTAGTGTGCATATATAATTCCAAGTATGTTTACAATCCGGCTGCTTGAAAAATATGTGCCTGAATAAATAATAATGAACATCACCTGGGTTTCAAATTTCTGATCGAATAGATGACATTCTATGGAATCCGTGGCTGATTCAGTTGCCCGTTCATACCATCCGAGAAGCTAACTGGGGGCCATAAAAGCGTCCAGAATTGTGGACATTAACTAGTTGAGCTCCAGGCATTGAACAATAATGATGAAAATGTCGCAAACACAGGGAAATGGAGTAACGTTTCTGCTGATCCTGGCCAGCGCCTGGACTCTGTCATCGGCCTATCTGCCCGATGTCAATATCTTTACCAATTACCGCACCGAAGTCTATAATGGTAAGCTATATTCCAGTTTTTTGTTGAGTAATTCTACTGGATTTTTGTGGCAGGCATTCCCTCGGAGATCGACACCACACCCTTTGTACGGATCGGGGACAACTACTACTATATCGAGCCGATGAACAAGGTGAATTGGTTCCAGGCAGCCGGCGCCTGTCGCATGATGAACGCCCACCTGGCCTCCATTGAGGACAAGCCGGAAATGGAGGCACTGATCAAGTACATGAACGCCAAGGGGTTCAAGAACAACGATTACTTCTGGATATCCGGCAATGATCTGGGCACCGAGGGCGCCTTCTACTGGCTCTCCAACGGCCGGCCCATGACATATGCCCCCTGGAACGGACCCAAGCAGATGCCGGACAACTACGGTGGCAACGAGAACTGCGTCCACATGTTTGCCACCCGTGAAATGATCAACGATGCCAACTGCAAGATCCAGATGCTGTATGTGTGCGAGGCCACGGAACCCAAGACCTTCAAGTTCACCTACATCAAGTGGTGAAAGATTATATAACATAACTTTAGATGCTCAGACCTAAGTTGATATATATACATATAAATAATATATAATATTTATAATCCAAATAATAATTTCATTTGTTGTAGTTTTTGCCGGCTTTTATTTGTCGCATCTTTTTGCTTATCGCTTTCGTTTCATATTTTTCACTAATTATACAATTAGTTCGATTTAGCATTGTCTCTCATTTGGTTTATACTAAATTATTACGATTCCGATTCCTTATGCTCCTTAAACAGCTATTAAACTCTATCATATACACGTTATTCATCGATCGATTCACTTGAATTGAATTTAGTTGCGTTAAATGTAATTAAATTAAATTTCATTTCATTTATAAATACCCACTAATATCGCGACGACAAAAAAATGTATTTCGAGTATATGCATCCTACATACGGAGAGTAAACTAGAAAGGAAGCGTTCTTCAGCAAGCCGAAGATGTTGATACCAAAGACCCAATAAAAACAAGATGCGTAACGTGCCTCTTGTCATTATAGGGTATCTCTTAATACCCTTGCAGTTACAGGCAAGTTTCTTATGGTAGGTGTAAAAAATGATCGCTTCTATATGGCAGCTATAAGGTGGAGTTGACCGATCCAATAGGTTTTTAAACCTAAATCTCTTAAAAGATAGTTTGAAATGAATATCATTTGAACTGATTGCTTAGGAACAGACACACGGACTTGGCTAAATCGATTCGCCTGGTGATGGGCAAGGGTATAAAATTGGATTGAAGCTATAACGTAAACGAAAGACAAGACAAGAAAGAGACTGATGGAATTCAGTATAGAGATGGCGTTATGTTTTACAGTTAGTTTTCAGTTTCTTTGTTTTTTTTTCAGCTTACTTCGCTAGGCTAGAGGTGAACAGTGATCGGATATTGAAAAATCTACGACATAACCTCAACAATTATAGCGATTATGCGTGGTGTGTGTGTGTGTGTGTGAGAGTGCTTACATATGTATGTATGTAGGTATATGTATGCCCTGGTAGTCTAATTAGTTGTCGATTTACGATGTACGGAGTCTTACGTGGCTAGATTGCTAATTCTAAACATTTGTTTGTCCACAGTTATGCATATAAATATTGTATATTTATCAATTAGTTAATATTAGTAACTACATACATATAATTTATATAAATATTCAACAGACGAGTGCATAAATTTAATAATTCTTACATGCTACTCTCTCTCTCTCTCTCTGTCTCTCACTTTTTGCTCTTTTTGTTTTACCAGTCTACGCTAAATCTACCGTATCTCCTCTCTCTCTCTCTGTTATCCTGTGCTGTGTCTGTGTGTGTTGAAGTGCTTCTGGATGCGCCAGTGTGAGTGAGAGAGTGCGCGTGTATGTGTAAGTAAGGTGGGCTTCAAAGCTCTCAGCTGCAAGCTTGTAGGAGTCTCGTCGTGCGAAAGGGAGAGAGCACTTTCGATCATTTGCCAACACTGGGCATCGGGATTGGGACTTAACACTAGACAGATTTTTGAAAACTTTTTGATTCAATTATAATTATAAACTATTTCTCACCTGAATATAGCAAATTAAAAGAGCAAATCCATTTCTAATCTCTTCACAACAAAAACTTAACTAAAAAATTACTGCCAGATGATATTGTGAAATAATCAGTGTTTTTGTCTAGTGCCGCCACAGATCCCGAGTCAGGTTGCTAGACTCGCTTATTTTTGTATAATCGTTTGACAACACACACAAATCGATAAGCTATTTTCTGGCATAACTTTACAATTAGTTCGATTTCTTCTTGCTTGGTTTTCCTCTTACAAAATGGAAAGAACAGCCTAAAAAATGTTATACATGTACAAAGTCTAAATGTTTTTTTCTTTTTGTTTTTTTTTTTGTTTTCTACTCATCTCTGCTAGCTCTCGTTTTTTTTCGACGTTTTTCTTTTAGAAAAAAACCTTTTTCGAAATGGCAGTGCGTTTAGAAAGGGGGTGGCGAGGGGTGTGAGGTTGTGTTAACTAAGTATTTACAGAAAGCGCTCTCAAAACTAAATTACAAAAAAAAAAAAAAAAAAAACAATGGCAGGAATCGATGAAAGCGCCTTGGCATACTCATAATCATAATCAACATAATAATCGTAAATAATATCAAACAAAAGTTTCATTTCTTTTTTTGTAGGTTTCTTTTTTTTTGTAGCTTTTTGTGTGGTTTTTGTTTTTTGTTGTTTTTTTTTTTGCTTTTGCTTTTTTGTTTTTAAAACACAATTGCTTTTAGACTTGGTTTTTTTCTGTTTTTGAATGCAATGTGTGTTCTTACAATGTTTTTAGTTTAGCAGACGTTTCGCTTAAAATTATGTTTAAAAAACTACTAATAAAAATATTAAGCATCATAAGTAATAGTAAGTAAATAAATCATAAAAAAATTTACATTTCAGGCATAAAAATTACAGTTAGCAATCATCTTAATTAATGTTTAACAATGCAGGGGAGGGATGAGGGGTAAGGGTAAGGGTACAGGGGTTCTTTTTGATTTTTTTTTCTTATTTTTTTACATTTTCTGCGTCTTCAAAAAATTGTATTTATTTTATTTTTAGATAAATTATGTTTGAAAATGTGAAGCACCTTAGTATTTTTTTCTTTTTTAGTTTAAAAGGTTGGGGTTAGGGTGGTTTGGTTGTGTGTATATATGCATGTGTGTGTGTGTGTTGAGCTCTAGAGAGATTTTAGAAACATACGAATGCGGTTTGTTCTTAAAATATTTCATATTTACCAGCTAATTTCACACTTCATTTTATCGCTCTTTAAACCATTATTACAAACTAATTATGAGTTTACTTTTATATATATATATAAATATATATAATACATATATATATATATATATATATTTATATTTATATTTTATATTATTTATCTTCTATAATATATTTTTATTTTTTTTTTTTTTCTTTGCTTTCATGTTTATTTTAGAAACAAAATGAAATATATTTAACGCAATCAGAGGCAAAGTGTTCCTTAATATTATGTTGTTAGTAGGTTCCTTTTGTTGTTTTGCTTTTCTAGTTCCGTTTCTAGATTCAAGCGAGACAGCGCAATGTTAAAAATAAATCTAAATATTACCTTTTAGGAGGATTCAGAATCAGAATCAGGATTAGGATCAGGATTCAGGATGAATTAGAAAAATGCAGCATACACACATATTTGCAGTTTTGAACCAGAGAGAACACTATCTTCTCTTTCTTATTTGCTTATTCCTTCCTATCGCTCGTCCCGCTCGTTTTGGTGATGCTGCCCATCTTGGCCAGATCGCGACGAACTGGAGCTGCTGCTGGCTATCGATGATTCCGACGATATGGAAATGATTGATATAGCCGACGATGAGTTCACCAGCGTGCCCCTCAGCGGCGGCAGTCGATGGTTGTTGTTGTTGCTGCTGCTGCTGCTACTATTGCTGCTGGTCGACGACGTACTGCCGGTGCCAATGGTCGGGGATCCCACAGATTTTTGGTAGCGACTGCTGCCGCCGCCGCCTAGCCGTAAATGCTGCGGCCGCTGCTGCTGCTGGTGGTGATGATGCTGCTGGTGCTGTTGCTGCTGCTGTTGCTGGTGGTGATGATGATGATGATGATGGTGCTGCTGTTGCCGGTGACTGTGACTATGATGCTGCTGCTGCTGGTGATAATTCGAGGATGAGGAGGAGGAGTTGGACTTGCTCAGCTGCTGCTGTTGCTGCTGCTGCTGCATGGGCGGTGGCACATAGTACTGCTGGTGGTAGTAGCCGCTGGAATTGTGGCCGCCGCTGCCGCCACCGCTGCGCTGGTTGTAGTTGCGTCCTCCACTGCCGCCAGATCCCGTTCCGAAGCCAGTGCCTCCTCCTGAGCTGGCGCCGGTTGAGGTCTCAGCCGGTGGCGGCGGTGGCGCCTGAAGCTCCAGCTCTGGGTCCATCTCCTGGGCAACGACGATGTGGGCAGTTTCCGGCTGTTTTGGTGGTGAAGAGGTTATACATGGATGCTTGTTGCTGCTGCTGTTGAATCTAGCACGCATGCTGGCTGCAGTTGCTCCCAAGGTTTTCGCATGGAATTTCGTTTGGAGCTTCGGTTTCGGATATAACCGGGCAGCAACTGCGGCCAGCATGGGAGCATAGCCGCCGGCCACCTGATGCCGCATGGGCATTAGGCAGCCGGCCACCACCAATCATCGTGTGTCTAGGCGAGGGATTGTGTGCATTACCGACGAGCCCGTGGATGAGCTGCTGTTTCCGTTTCCATTTCCGCGTCCGCTTCCGCTTCCATTCCAACTGCTGCTGCTGGTCGTTGGCATACCAACAGCGATCACAGGCAACGGCATGGCGGGCATGGCGCCAACCATTCCATTCGGCGGCGACAATGTGATGTCAATGATCTCCGGCGACCCTTCAACAATCTCACAGTCCTTGCTGTCCTCGGAATCATCGCCGGACGAGGTGCTGCCACGTCTGTGACGCGACTGCGATTGGTTCTGCGATTGCTGTTGCTGGACCTTTGTCGCCTGTTGTTGTTGTTGTTGCTGCTGCTGCTGTTGGGCGCTATTACCAGGCGCCGACACCCCCACCACTGCCACCGCCGTGGTGGTCGTTGTCGTGGCCGATGAACCGGTGACAAACGACTGTCCCAGATGGCCGGGATGACCGTTAGAAGTGTGCCCGGCATGGCTGTGCGAGTGACTGGTGTGGCTGCCGTGGGCAGTGGGCATTTGCACCGGATGATGGTACAGCTGCTGGACAACGGCGCCCGTGGGCATAATCACATATTTGGGTGCACCATTTGTGGTGGCATACGCCGCAGCGGCGGCAGCGGCAGCGGCTGCAGCAGTGACGGGCAGTGGCGAGATGCGCTCCACCATCACAAGGTGTTCAAAATTCTCTCGGATCCATTCGCGATAGTCGATGACGTCGTCGGTGATGTGGATGATTCGACCTATGGAAAAATCAAAATAAAAAATTAATAAATTTTAAAATAATTATATAAGGCCTCTTGGGGAATTCAAGTTTTAAGTGTTGAAATTTAACATAAATCTATAAAAAGTCACTCACCCAGTATGGAGTTAAGGCGCGGATCGATCCCGAGGAGATTGAGCGGACTAACGGCAAGAGCGAGAACGCGGTAGGCGCACTTGAAAGCCTGCTGCACTTGGAAGACCCCATAACTGCTCCGTCCAATGTCATTGCCCGGCGTCAGCGGATCCTCAATGCAAAGAAGCGATGGCCTGTGGCCATCGACCATATCCCTCTGCAGGTCATCCTTGGGCATATACCGACCGCCGTTCTTAATCGAAATACCGATCTTCATATAGTTAAACCGACGACCGTACAGTTCGAAAAATTCGAGCAGTAGGACACCCAGATTGGCCGTCTCGTGGTAGATGGCACGCGGATGCAGCTGCAGGAAGCTGATGCACATGAGGATCAGCGAATAGGAGGAGATGCCGCCGGTGAACACCTCGTTGAGATCGCGGAGCAGCAGGAACTGCTTTAGGACCAGCACCAGCTTCCCCAGCACCGGATAATCACGCTTGAACTTTTTAATCAACTCCGCTGACTGAACGCCGCTTTGCATATTGAACGATATGTCAACCTTCACCTGCGTCTCTCTATCCGTCAGCTTGATGATCGGCACAGATGCCTTGTCCAGTACACGGACTGTGCACGCTTCCGCAATACCACGACCCACCAGCTCGGATTCCAGCGTGCGCAGCGGCAGCTTTTCCCATAAACCTAAGCGGGAAAATTGATAGTATTAGAAGAATTTCTATGATTATCAAAAGGTATCATATCACTCACCTAGCACAACGAGATCAATGTCGGAGGTGGGCAGAAAGAGACCGGTGCGAAAGGAGCCAAAGATCTCAACCACCGCCTGCGGCCAGATGGAATGGACAACGGCCTCGATGCGCTTGACCACCTCGTTGCGGATGGCGTGCTCGCAGGGCGTGGGCAGGACGTATTGATAGAAATGCTCGATCTCCTCATGCAGCCCGATGACACCTTCGCCATAGGGGAAGTCTGGCTTTCGCCAGGGCTCACCCTTGTACTTGGCAATCATCTCCATGTGGTTGTTCATGTAGTAATGGGCCCCGCCAGCCTTGTTCTCCGGCCGTTTCTTTCGCGACGGATTGTAGTAGATGCTGTTCGTGCGACTGGCACCACCTGTCGTCGTCGTGTTCGTGGTCGTCGTCTGTGACGTAGTATCGTTCATACTGGTCGTCGCTGGCGGTCCAGTCGCTGCAGTTGCAGCGGCAGTAGTTGCCCCTGCCGTGCTTGCTGGACTGTTCGTTCCGGCTCCGTTTGTAGATGTGATGCTGCTGCTACTGCTGTTGGCGGGTGAATTATTGTCCCGATTTGTTGCGGAATCCGAGGTGGCCGAGCTGCTGTTTACACTGCTGCTGCTGCTACTACTGTGCCGCTGCTGCGTGGTACCGTTAAGGTGCTGCTGCTGCTGCTCCTGGGAATCCGCCCGAAAGTTAAGAACACGGCCCAGTGAGCTATTTGGCCGTGATAAGTAGGGTTTGCCCGTTGAATTGTTATTAATATTAGTGTTAGCCGCGTTACTGTTACCGTTACCGCTGCTGTTATTGTTGCTGCTGCTGTTACCGCTGATATTGCTGCTGGTGCTGCTGCTGGTGGTGCTACCGTTAATCACCGTCGTCGTCGTCGTTGCTTGCTGTAACTGCTGATCAAGCGATGCGCCCATCTCCTGGGCATTCGTCTCCCAAATCTTTAACCATGTGCGCAGCGATGGTCCCTCCTGTTCCTTCTGAAACCAGCCAACAAATGGATCCATTCAAGACGCTTTCACACGACTGTTGGCTGGGATGGGAAACGAGGGGCCTAGCGTCTCTCCTTCGCTCCTTCTTCTGCCACTTCCTTTATTATATTTATATTCCCTGCTACGTCCTTCCTTCCTTTATAGATGTGATGATCTAATAGTTGTGGCTGCGCGCATATGTGATCCACGAGGAAAAGTTCTCGGGCTTTTTGCCTGGGGAGTGCGTCTTCACCCTCTAAAGTAGTCACTCACAAACTAAGGAAAAAATATACAAATAGTATTACGTTTTAGTTGGCTTTGTTTTAGTAGTTAATAAATATATAATAGGGTCTGTCTGATTTCTAAAAGCGATCTGTACCGAGATTGGTCGCAGTACCTTACATTTTTAACTCAAAGAATTACTACGAACCGACCATAAATCAAACATAAAATCAAATAAACAATAAGTGTAATTTATCGCACAGCTTGGTATCACATATCAAGCTCTCTGCCAGCCTGTAACTAGCGTAAAGCCCGGCACAATCAGCCAAGTATTTCCTCGAAAAACTCTATGACTGTGGGAAGGATTAGAGTCTAGAGAGTTCTGGAAAGCAGACCCTACGCAAGTCTTCTTGAGTTACTGCTAATTTTGCTTAGTGTAACCTGTTAAATCCTTAAAAATAGGTTGATCTCAAATCCATGACTCCCTTTAAATATATAAAACGATATTAAGAAGTAAATTGAGACCTTGCAGACCCCTCTAAAGATCTAAAAATAAATTACAATATTGTGACAAAATTCTGATCAATAAATACAGCTTTTTAAGACATTTCTTCAACTTCTTTATCGACTGGGGGCTACTTTTATTTATAGATTATCGATAAATAAACACGATGTGGCGCAATGTGGCAAGAAATAAAGCCGATATATGGGTTAAATCCAAAATACGGCAACTTGGGGGGGCCGACGTATGAATAATAAACAAAGAGAGAAATGGAAATAATAATAAATACAATTACATACATACAAACAGTATGTACAAATGTAAGTTGCCACTCTCCAAAAGGCGTTTGCATGCATTTTCATTTCGCTCGAATGGAAAGCGTAAATGGCAAACTATTGCAAATTATGCGCTCTTTTCTACAAATAGAAATGCCGACCTCTCTCGCTCGCACCCCCTCTTTCTATGGCTCCGCTAGCGCTCCCCCTCCCCCTCTCATTTACACACGAGCCAACTGCAGCTGAAGCGTTTAAAGGCGCCAGGCGAAAATTGTTTTTCAGAGCGCAAAAAAAATAATAATAAATAAAAAAAACTCCAACACACACACATTACAAAAAAACACCCAAAAATGGGGCAGAAAAAAAATCGACTCACGAGACTTTGCAAATAAAATGACTTCCAAAGTGATATTATATCGCACACCAACACAATAGCAAGTACTCTAGTTTTGTGCATGTGTATGTGTATATTGCCCGTGCGTGTGCCTGTGTGCAAGGGCGTACAGGTGGCCGTAGTATGCGGGGGAGCGGGACAGCAGGCACATGCACATGTACCGAAAGGCGGCTGAGATTATGCAAAAAACAAAATGAAATAATACCCACACCAAGGCACCGCTACTCGAACGTCAACCGGAATGACTTTTCGTCGACTTTTTCAACGCTTTCATTAGCTAAACCGAGATATTCAAGCAACTGAAGATGCATTTTTCTAGAGGAAAACTTTACTACACACACACACACGCACCCACATACACGCACGCATGAACTTGTACATTTTAGGCAAATTAACACTTTCTTAATGTTGGTCAGTGTTGGTTAACACCCAAAGGGGGAGATGGAGACGGCGAGAGAGGAGGCGGAGTGAAGGAGAGGTTTGAGCAATGAAAGAGAGGGAGCGCGTGCTTTCCTTTGTAATTGTTTTATACCGGCAAAAGTACTTTTTTTTTAATAAATCTTCTGCTGAATTGACAGTGCCGCACTTATCGATAAGCCTCGCAGGGTTGCCACCTCTGGCAGTTGGACGAACTTTACAGCACTAGTTTACGCAAAATGTAAACATTTAATTTATGCAATAAAAAATAAAAACGAAAATCAATCAAGAGTTTAATCTTCCGCTCGCCCTCACTTTAACGCACTCACGTGTGCGTTCTCTTTTTAGATTTCTCGCGTAATTACGTTGGAATTTTTCACCTTTTTTTTCGATTAAAAAAATTGTTGTTGCTCTTTTACCTTGACAAGTTTTGTTCTCGTTGTATTTCAAGTTTAGCACACATACGGCTGCCCGCACTCAAAAACACACGCACACACTCAACGCACACACCTGGACGTGCATGAAATACATACAAAAACATAGTTATAGTATGCAAGTTGTGGGTTTTTTCTGCAGCTCAAAACCCGCCCAAAAATTAATGGAAAATTACAGTTGTTGTCGGCGTCGCCCGCTCTGCTCTTTCCCTCTCGCTCTCTCCCTCGCGGCTATATCCTTATAAGCAGTAACAATTTATATCGTTCTTGCTCACTCTCACACACTGTCACTGACACACACACACACACGCGAGTACACTCACGATTCCTTCGAATCGAATCGAGAATTACCGAAAGTGGCTGCGCTTTGTTGCAACTGGCATTTGCAATCGCCGATTCGCATGTCCTGTGGATCGCAGGCTCTTAGCCGCCGTGCGATTGTAGTTATTGCCCTTTTTCAGCGTCTCCTGTCCGTTTTTGGCTCGATTTTAACGACGAAAATTGCAATAATTCTGCGAACACGCGACTGGTAGAGATGTCGATATTTTTGCCCAAATATCGAAATCGCGATATTTTGTTTGATATTTTTTGATATCTTGGTCACTCTGAATTTCAAAGTAAAATGTCAAAAGAAGGTTTTACAGGCTTGGGGTCGAATTCTCATGTAGAATGTCAAATGTAAGTAAAATCTAGTGTTATAGTGTATACTGAATTATTTGCCCAAATACCGAAATCGCGATACTTTTGTTTGATATTTTTTGATTCTCCTTGGTCACTCTGAATTTCAAAGCAAAATGTTAGTTAACATAGAAATGCTCTCGCTTACAGAATTTGGCTCGTTAACAGAATTTGCTTATGGAATTCCCAATTGAGAGCACTTGGTAGATGGTAGAGATAGCAGAATACCGATAACAGTGTTCATATCGATGGCTTGTGGGCCGGCACTATCGCTTCTACTTCGCCTCGTTTCCATTGCGACAGCATTTTCCATCGGTCCGATGTTCACCATATTTTCATTATTTTTACTTTCTTGCCGAAAGGCAAATGTTTGGGTTTAAAAAATAAAATAAATAATAAAATAATTAACCCTAATACCCTTGCATTATAAATTTAGTCAGAAGTTTGCAACGTAGAGAATGAGACGCTTTCGACCCTATAAAGTATATATTTTCTTGATCATCATCAACAGCCGAGTTAATCTAGAAAATAATTATAACTTTCGGCGGGCCGAAGTTAGCTTACTTTTTTTTTCAAATGATATATACACATATATTTTTTTGTTTCAAATGGAATATATTTGATAATTTTCTAAAAAAAGAAAAAATATTTTTACGAATGCTTAGTATTTTCGGTGCTTTGGATTTTATCATCTCCTTTTGGAGGCCAGGGACTGTAGCTAGAGATTTCTATGATGCCCAATGTCAGATTTGGTTTAATAAAAATACAATCTTTAATCATTTAATTCGTTACACAATAAATATTCGATATATCGTTAGTGTTAGTGTTATATATGTATAAAATCAACATGTTGCTCTCATCCTTCGCTTGAGGTACACGATTTTCGTAACAGTTTTGGTAATGTACATAGTTATTTACAGTAAAAATATACACAAGTACCAGTTAGATATCTTGAATTTGCTTAAACTTAAAACCTTGGATAGCGTCAAAATTTTTGAATGGAGAAAATGGAATTACTTGTGGCCTCTTAATTTAAAGTTTTTCTTCAAGTTAAAGTTAAAAGGAAAATAAGAAATGACTCAGATATTGGAAATATTCAAGTTTGCACAGTTTTACAAAGTTATAAAATATAATAAACTGGTTAGCATCAATAAATAAAATTATAAAATAAAGACGAATATTAAACCAATTAGTTACCAAGGCAAAGTTCATAAATCAACTCTTCGAATATTAATATTTAAATAAAGACTACGATTAACTTCCATTTCGCCATTGTCTTTTGCACAGACGGAGGGGTTCTAGCATTTTAACCGAATGCTAGCTGGCCCGATTCTGTAGACGAGAGCACCTGGAGCAAGGGTAGCTATTGAAGCTGCGACTGCGGCACCGACTCTTCCAGCAGCTGTGATGGAAGCAGGCGCCACAACGATCGCAGCGATAGATTTTTCGCTGCCAAGGGTAGAGAAGCTCGCCGCCCTTGCAGTGTTCACAGACGAAGGCACGACCCGTACAGAGCTGGAAAAAGTTAAAATTATAATTAATTATATTTCTTAAATATTTGTTGTACAAGTAATTTTTTTTAAATTTTGATTCAACAACTCACCACACAGTTTCGGACGTGCTGTTCACTCAAAGCGATCACCTCTTTGATGGAGCGACTCATGCTGCTGTTTTGCACGTCCACAAAGTCGCACATGGACCACATGTCCGGATCTTGGGTTATGTGGGCAGGGATAACATTGAAGAAGGCTTGCTCTCTGTACGGGGAAAAAAGAGGATGAATTTAAATTTAACGGAAAAAACTGGCTTACTTACCTCTCTGCAAACCGACAATTGGCTATGAAACCCTTGACCGTCTGGAGCTGCAGCCTCCTCCTCCTGGCGGTGGCCAGCTCCTTGTGCTTATACAGCTGCGCATTAAGATCCGGGACATGGAAGAGCGGGAAGGCGTACATCTGCTCGATCAGTTTGTATGCAAAGGAGCAAACCGGATAGCAGCGAAAGTCCCAGGAGCGTAGAATCCTTGCCGGAATGGCGGATATCTGATTCCGATGACAGCCAGTGCACATGTACTTCCCCAGGTAGCTGCAGTAGCGAAAATGCTGCTGCAGATGCTTGGCCACACGCATGCCGCAGCCGGCACAGCGTTGATTCTGCTTGGCCAGCAACTGGGAACGACTCGCCGAGGGATGCTCGGTGAATATGATCTGCTGGCGGGGCGGTGCCCAACTGGACGTGCCCCTGGTCAGGCTAGACTGCTCGTCGTGGTGATCCTTCTTGGTGGGCATGGGCAGCGGCAGAAGCTTTTGCGGTGCCTCCTGCTCGGAAACAAGCCACTTGAGATGGCCCAAGCGGGGCAATTGCTGGTCACTGAAGCGCGATATCAACTGCAGACCCACTGCCTCGGCACTGTGGTTCTCCATTCCGCCGGCAATCTGCTCGGCATAGGGCATTAGATTTGGTTCCATGAGATTTTCCTGCCTGCCGACACAGGTCTGGGGGTGATCTGGTCTGGTTTCCAGCCTCCGGCTCCACTTGACATGCTCGATGGCCGTGATGCAGGCCTCCGAAATCCGAAAGTGGGCATTCTCCTTCTCCAACTGGGTGTTGTTGTGCGTCTGCCGGGACATTTGGAGGAAGGAGGCCAGCGATTGCTGGTCCAGCTTGTCGCTGCTGCCAGGAGTAATGCTCACCGAACTGGAGGCGGTACTGCTGCTGCTTGCCGGGGATCTCTGGATATCCCAGGGTGCCGATGCCATGCAGGGAGCCGTTGCAACCGCAGCAGCGGCAGCCTCATCCAGCATGCTAACGCCCTCGAAAAGGGTCTGATGCTTCTTCAGTTTCCTGCCATTTATGGGCAGGAAATTGTTCAATACGCCACCCTCGCCGGCGGCATTCAGATCCTCGCCCAGTCCCCTCTGGAACCAGCTGGTATAGACGGGCGGCGATCCAAACAGGCTGCCCAGAAAACTGCCCACCAACAAGGAGGAGGGGGAGGAGGAGGAGCCTCCTGCTGCTGCTGCTGCTCTCGGTATCTCCTCCATCGACTGCTCTTGGGGCGTCGTCAGATCCGTCCAGATTTTGATGTCATCACAGTTTATAAGTTGTATCCGTTTATTTGGGCTGCCGCCGCTGGACGAGCAGGAACTTGTGGATGGCGCGGCATCCACATAGTCCTCCCTTCGGCTGGAGCTGCTAAAGGTTTGGCAGCGTCTTCGACTCAAGCCCGTGCCCTCTTCTGGCTCCTCGTCCTCTGGCTTTAGATTCGGCAGACTCTTCAGTCGCCGCAGGAAGCTTCGCTTCTGCAGCTGCCTCTCCTCGGGCACAGCCTGCAGCTTGGGCGAGATGCTAAAGTTCGGCTGGGAGCAGGTACGCCGGTGGCGCAGCTTGTTTCGTACCTCCAATTGTCCCAGCAAGCCGCTCTGATTCAACTGGACGGCCGTCAGGCACACAAACAGGGCGGTGGCATCGCCCGAATGACGCAGAAAGGCCTCCTTGCTGGGATAATAAAAGTCCATTAGCTCCGGATCGGAGACCAGGGTTTGCAGGCACTGCGTCAGGCACTGGGCACGCAGGCAGCGCTCTGTCCACTGCACAAGGAACTCTTCAGCACCGAACACACCAGCCGGATGCGTTGGCGACTGTGGTTGTGATAGCGTCCCCAGCGATGGCGGTGGTTTGCCCGCACTTGCCAGTAGGAACTCAAAGTCATCCGCTAGTCTCTGCAGCTCCACTGGAAGCAACTGATAAGAGAGAGAGAGAGAGAGGCGTTGCATAAATAAAATTCGATTGCAAAACAATGGGAGAATTATAACTGTTATGCAGGGAAACGAATAGCTAATACCCTTTGCTTACTACATTTTACACAAAATTGCTTTAATGTTGGGTTATTTTTAAGAATAGTTTCTATTTCAAGTCTTGAACACTTTAAATAACTCCTAAAACAGCTTTAAACCACACGGAGCCAGGCTAAATCGACTCGCCTGGTGATGCGAATCAATAATTACATAAATATCAACATCACTGGGACTCCCCAGACTGACTCAGGGTAGACTTCTCCCGCTGATCTTCGTGCTGCTTACCATTCCATGCTGCAGAATCCGGGTGCAGCTCTGCGATAGCAGCTGGAATCCGTCCGAGGATTTGGCCCGGAACCAGAAAATCGTCGATCTTCGCAATTCCGACAGCAGGGAATTTCTGGCCAGGCGTTGTTGTTGCTGTTTTCGCTGCAATTCCACTGCGCTTTCCGACGCAGCTGCTGCTTCGGCGGCCCCGAAAGTGGGGGCAGGCATGGCCATGGGGCTGCACCTGAGTTGTCAGTGGGGCGGGGCGCTAGGTGGTCGCATTTCCACTTGGTGCATTTGAATGTTTTGCGAATTTTGCTTGTTTTTATTATTTTTATTTATTGCCACTAGGGATGTGCAACATGTATCAATATATCGAAATTTTTGTAGTAAAAAAGGGTATTTTTAATCGTTATAGAATATCAGCGTTAAGAGCAACGGTCACTCTAAGTCCTTTTAGCCGGGTTTTAAACTTTATGGGATATTTTGTAGTATAACAGCTATTAGCTAAGACTCAGACCAAAATCGGTTTATAGCAGCTTTGGAAACTTATAGCAATAAACTGACCATAATTAATATTAACAACTATTTTTTGTTGCTTTTTTTTATTTTATTTTTATTTGTATAAAAAATATACATTTTTAAAAGTCTTTATACTGAATTAGGCTTTTCTTAAAATAAATATTTTTGGAATTTTCTTAAAATTAAATTTCTGGATTATAATTTTTACTTGGGCTAATTAAAACTGTATCTGTGGATTGGGGTTTATGCTCCTTTCCTTTTTAAAGTCAAAGTAGGCAAACACAATTCGTGTGTCATTTTTGATCCTTAAAGAGCAGAAATCTGGCCAAAATGGATGGGGGCGCGGTGAAAGCCATGTAAATCGACAGCTTTGGATAACCGCAGACAGCGGTGGCAATATGGTGAGCATTGGAACACGTGACTTGAAGTGAAGTGTTGGTGCAGCGAAGCAATTGAATTAGCCAGCCAGCCCTCCCCAGAAGGGGTCCCGTCATTGCTGCAAGTACACTGGGAAAAATATATGAAATAAATTAAGCTAATAAAGTAATTTCCCTTGAATTAAGAGTTACTGTTGGGGTAAGTAACTATGTAATAACACAAACACACAACACCACACCTGCTCCCCAATATCACTTCACTTCAGGAATGTCAGAACCAGTTGAGAATTATATGTGCACAGGTGTGAGATTTTTCAACGTGTGATTCTTAGGGCGAATTCTTGTTTTTTTATGAAAAATTAACCAGCAAAACAATTTCAATTTGAGCTTATTTTAAGAAAGGAACAAATGGTAATTTCAAAATAAACAATAATTTTTTAAAGTGCATGAGCAAAAGGACTCTGTGTACAGGAACAGGAGCAGCAAAAGTCAAATGTAATTGGTTGTGACCTGACCCGTTGACCTGTTAGCTCTCCATGAGTACGAGTGCGAATGAGTTTACAGTTTCGATTACAACGCTGCCGACCTGGTCAACAGCTTTAGGGCTTACTTTACCGCCTCTTTAGCCAGCTCGAGTGGCCGGCAGAACAGGATATGTAGGCGGGCAGGATTCACATACAGTAAAGGCCGGCATTATCAATATTAATCCAACTAACAAGTCACAGCCACTGAATGGTAAATTAACAATAACAAATATGCCTCCTTCGCTGTGATTACCATGCCAGAATGGCTGTCAGATTGAAGTTCACATTAATTAAATTATCTTACCCACAATTGCTCCGTGAAACGCGATGAAACTCTTAATTTTAACTATTTTGAAATTAATGCGAGGAGGCTGAGAGGGTGGAGCTGCCGTGCAACGTGACCTGTCAGTCGTTGACATATTGACTCATCAATTGCTGGCTAACAGCTTTGACAATACTCAAAATGGTAATGACAATTTTCAGACTCGTCTTGGGGACCCGCAAACCAGGCAAAGGGACTTGGGCTGTGAAGACACTTGGAGAAATTAAAATAAGCTACTATAAATACAGTTTTAAGAGTTATTTTTTTTTGTATTTTATGTACCCGGAAATTAACTCAATTTTAAATCAAATCAAATTCTTAAAACAATTTATTGTTGATATAGATTCCACTTGTATCTTTATAATTCCCAACTGGTTCTGACTTCAAACTAGTTATAACCCAAAAAAGGCTGTATAGTCAACTTGTTTTGTATTGTGTTAATTTAATTTAGTCAATTTAATGTTAATGAATACGTGTTGATTTAAATGAGTTCATTTTTCATATTGTTTGTTTCAGTAGTTTCGACTGCGATTTTAGGTTAACAATTTATTGAGTTTATAGAAAATAACTGATATAACTCACTGAAAATGAAATTTAAAAATTTCAAATAATTTTGCATAATATTTCTGAGTGTACCATCAGAGCGGATTAAGGCTGTAGAAGAGGGAGACAAATTTGAAGCGACGGACGACGACCATAACAATGGCCAATGTAGTGGAAGAAGCGAAATTTTTATGTTAATGAACACAATTTTTCTCTGTTTACTTGCGCTTGTGTTAAGTGTCGCAAATAAATTCATTAAAGTGACATTTTTCAATTTTAATGAACCTACCAGCCCTCCCCCCACCGACCCAACCCCTCTCTCCGGTCGAATAGAGTCGTAATGTAAATGAACGCAACGTCCAAGGAATGAATACAAATAACACCCATTACGATGAGTCGCAGGATAAATGTTAAAATTAAGAAATGAATTACGGCTTATTTATGAAAATCATCAGTGGCCGATTATCGCTGTCGCAATCGGAAAACAACACACAAAAACACACAGTTTCATACCCATTTATGGCACAATTCTGCTTTATCCGCTTTATCTGCAAAAATATACTCGTAAATAGTTGAGTGTTTGGACACTTTCCCACTGCCTAGATGTTATCGATAATGCTTTTGTCATTACGCTGCGAATTTATTCGCCCCGTTGTGCAATTATCAAACGTCATTGTTTAATTGCTAAAGTTTTAATTGCTCGCCACTGTGAGAGCTGTTACTATACTATTTTGACCGGTTCAAAGGGTACAAAGGTATTGTGATTTGGTGACATTTTCCATCATGTTAGATTTAAGTGGTTATATCCTGTGAAATTAGAGAGGAATTAGGCAAAAGGATGACTCTTTTCAGTAAGATTGGTTACTAGGGATGTATCATAATAATTAAAAATACATTTAAATTTAATGACGCAGTCCGATATATTAAATGGAATATTGATTAATCATTAATAATCGTTTAAAAATCGTTAATTATCGTTAATAATCGTTACTAATCGTTAATTAAATATAGATTTTTGTAAAGCACTTTAGACTTTATTTCACTTTCAATCAATAAATTTGAATAATTGCAATTTTTTAAACTGCAAAGTATGTTATGTGTTTAAAAATTACCATAGCATACTTTTCAGCACATTTTAAGCTTATCTTAATGTTGTTTGATCCTCTTTTACCTTGGAAGGCTTGCTGGTTATAACGATATCTATAGCAGCTTTCAAAAGACTTCTCCTTAGTTTCTGGCAAAATAAAATCTTTAAAGTTTCAAGTGCTTTGCTTGCTTGTAATTTACATTTTTAAAAAGTAAAACTGCGGGGAGCTGAGAGCGAGAATGAATGAAAATCACCGCACAACAAGGTACGTGTGACTGTCTGTGTGGGTTTTACATGGCAATGTCTGTAAACACACACACATATACAGACACGTATGCACTTAATTTTTGGCCATTTGCCGGCTTATTCTTCTTCGTCTCTATGTGATGGGCTACCCAATTATGAGACATTAAAAGTACGCGCATATAAATCGCTTCATTTTTATGCGCAATTACACGGGGGAGATGACGGTAACCTTGGCTTTCACAGTCCTTGTTTTCTCCTTGGTCCTTTTTCACACTCTCTACTTCTCTTTTACCCGTTTAAAGAGCCGCAGTCACAGCCACCAGCCTATGTATGTGTATGGCTGTATGACACCTGTAAGAGAAAACATTGTCAATGGTCCAAAGCATGATCTTCAGTACACAAGAAAAAATCTCTTATAAATACAAATAGATAAGAAAATCATTAAAGCTTAACAGCAGTTTTACAAGAGAGTGCAATGAAAGTCGTAAGAGAAGAGGAGGAAGAGTGTGAACAGTGAGGGGAGATTGTACTCAAGTGCCAAAAGCTCATCCATTCGCCATTTATCTTTCATAACAAAAAGAGAGAGAGGGAGAGTGATCTCTCTTAAGTGACGAGCTCTTTAACACATAATGACTATGCCCTTTAGGGAAAAAAAAACACACACAATTAGTAAGTTTAACTATTATTTATTGATAGCGGTTAAAATTCAATGGATCTCAGTACAGACGTTATCGAATTTTATTAAATTCGGTGAAATTTATATACAAAACAGATGTTTTGAAGTGAGTTTTAGTAAAAAAGAGTGTCCTTAAGGTTTTTTCTTAACTCGCTTTAGTAAGTCGCTAAGCATAAGGATTTCCAGTATCTTTCCGGTGCCAAAAGGAGGAGTAAGAGAAGGTCCGCTTTACCCTAAGAGCGTGAGACCTCCAGCCGGTGACCACTAACTGCGGACACGTACTCTTCCACGATCCTTGCCCATGTGCAATGCCAGGTTAAAACAGCATCTACCTTGGAGACTTGTGTAATTAAAATGCTAAAAAGCTAACAAATTAATACATGTTCTTTGAAATCTTAGAAATATATGTTATTTTATAGAATTTCACCGTGTGCTATAGGCATTCTCCACTACACCTCCTTCGCTGTCTCGGTTTCACGGTTGTGTTTCTGTGCTTCTCTGTTGGCCGTACTCAATTAAGTTAATTCCCGCTTGCATAAACTGCGGAGATGTTTTCCAGCCCCCCCCCTCGTCACATTTTCCGGACCTCGAGTCATGTATTTTGTATTTATTTTGATTTAAACAAAATTTAGGCCACTCAACCGTGTGCACTTTTGGCCTGAAAAGTGTCAGCCTAGGCCCAACGCCACAAACACCCAAAAAAAAAAAAAAGAAAGAAAAAGAGAGAAGCGAACACTTAAATACACAAAACCTTAAAAATTCAGCACAAAAAAAAAAAGGAAAGAAAGGAGAAATCAAGTCTTTAAGGGTCGCAGACCAAACTTTCACCGGAAGTGGGCCAATAAAAAACAGTATATACCCAGGAGATATATGTACATATCTACCAACTGGCTGGAAGTGCGTTGCCTCGCCTCACTTTGCCTAATGCGATTATGCTGGGGCCTCCATTCCACGTCATTGTCCTGCGCCCTGCGCCCTGCTCCTTGCGCTCCCCTCTTCCTGACAGCCACTAATTTTTCGGGGCGATGGCAATAAGCGGATAAAGTCATCTTTGGAATTAGCATTT